TTAAAATAAAACTGAAATTCGGTGCGCTTGCCACAGTCTTCCGATTTCTGATCAACAAGTCTTCCACCCACGCACACCTTCAAAATACTGCGTCCATTGTGATACTGTATACTTGAGACTTAACCTCTAATGAGAATTGGGAAATATAGTTGAAAACTAAAATTTGTTGGGAATAATTATTTTTGTTCATGAGTGTTTTAAACAATATGGAACTGGAACAGCGGTTACACATACGACGAGGTGGCCGAGTGGTTAAAATACTGCGTCCAATGTGATACTGTATACTTGAGACTTAACCTCTAATGAGAATTGGGAAATATAGTTGAAAACTAAAATTTGTTGGGAATAATTATTTTTGTTCATGAGTGTTTTAAACAATATGGAACTGGAACAGAGGTTACACATACGACGAGGTGGCCGAGTGGTTAAGGCGATGGACTGCTAATCCATTGTGCTCTGCACGCGTGGGTTCGAATCCCATCCTCGTCGTGGGAAGAGATTTTGTCCTCGATGGAAGATTTGTAAATGGAGTTTTCTGCTAAGATCAATATGGTTGGTAATGTTACGTATAGCTGGAATTCTACTCGAGTATTTAGGAAGATGTGTTGGAAACAATATCTGGTTGCGGAGCTGTATAGTGAAATGTAGGCCTATTCACAAAGATACCACCATGCTTGCAAATACTGTAGAAATTAGTTACATTTTCTATATTTGACTAGTTTACAGACTAAATTATTTCGTCACCTTTAAATTAGCGTGCTATTAATTACTACAGTCGGAATCATTTTCGCAGTTAATGCACTGACTGGACAACCTACAAAAAAAACACTTCGCCCTACGAACTGCAGGCGGTGCCGTGGCTTAGATGGTTAAAGCGCCTGTCTAGTAAACAGGAGATCCTGAGTTCGAATCTCAGCGGTGCCTTTTACCTCTATTCACTTGATCATAAATACATTATAAAAGGTGTATGAAGTATCAGTCACTAATTAATTTAACAGAAATGCAAATGTTGGGTACAGTTATTCATATATTAGGTGCTTTGCAGTTCAACCGTCTATATATCTAAAAAAATTTTTTTTTCCTGTCAAATACTCTAGCTACATTACTGTCGCTGTTAAATATTTTATACCACCATGTTTACTTGTCTGGCTACCAAAACATATTGCGTCGGCCAAACACTACGCCACCGCGATAGACGATTGGGGGCACACTGGGCTTGTTTGAGTTGTACGGCGAAGCAACCGACTGTAGACGAAAGTCGAGGAGTGAAGTCCGAGGAGGTGCATCTGCAAAAACCCTAATGATTGGTTGACAATAGAGGCTCCCACAATGCAGGCAAAGGCTGCAGGATGAAGTTCGATCGAGTACAGGCTTAAAGCTGCAATAGTCACTTTTTGGGCGACCTGGACAAATTCACACACAAATGTGGGTTATAAATCTGTCATTCTCATTGAAAGCAAGTCTAAGAAGATCTGGCCCATGTGTGCTATTTCTAAGCTTCCCGTTCTTAAGTTTGTTTTTGCATCTTACTTTCGGTTTTGTACACCAGCTTTAAAGAGCTGAACACAATATTTTTGGTTATGGAAAATATATTTCACAGTGGTTTAGATAGTACAATGATTCGCTACACTACACTTGCTTGTTTTGTCACATAAACTGAAATTAGGCAAACTATTAGAATTTTAGCAACCAGGAAATAGCAGCGCGATTTCGGCATAGTGCATCTTTAACTGAATGACAACGGATAGTTTGGGGGTAGGCTGGGCAGCTGGCATCGACTGTTTCTCCTGATGTTAGTTTCTTCTCAGCAATGACTCTGGATGATGTTTTTTCTGAGGTCTTGGCTGATTTCTTTTGATTTTCCCATGATGTCAAGCAAAGAGGCACTGAATTTGAAGGTAGGTCTTGAAATACATCCACAGGTACACCTCCCAATTGACTCAAATTATGTCAATTAGCCTATCAGAAGCTTCTAAAGCCATGACCTCATTTTCTGGAATTTTCCAAGCTGTTTAAAGGCACAGTCAATTTAGTGTATGTAAACTTCTGACCCACTGGAATTGTGATACAGTGAATTATAAGTGAAATAATCTGTCTGTAAACAATTGTTGGAAAAATTACTTGTGTCATGCACAAAGTAGATGTCCTAACCGACTTGCCAAAACTACAGTTTGTTAACAAGAATATTGTGGAGTGTTGAAAAACGAGTTTTAATGACTCCAACCTAAGTGTATGTAAACTTTCGACTTCAACTGTATGCAGCGAACATAGAACAGCGGAAGAATTCTGTTTGGAGTCGTCAGGCGACATATTTACATGATACTACAACAGTTGATTAAGTGAACATTTGATCATAGGATCACGCGAGAATTGCTATTAAAACTCAAATGGCAGCAGTGGGATTCGAACCCAAACCTCCAGAGAGACTGGAGCCTTAATCAAGCGCCTTAGACTGCTCAGAGGTGAAAAGTAAAAAATAAAAATAAAAGCTATGCACAGCAAGCGACTTAATAAGAACATAATTGTTTTGCTTCTTTGCCCGTAGACCATTATACATACTAACATATTATGTCGACATACTCACACACTATGTTGTCCTGCCAATTACCCAGTCATAATACTCTAGCATAGTGTGTTGTTGCAGTATCCAAACCTTAGAAAATGCGAAAACTACACATTTACTAAACATTCCAGTCTATTTTCCTAACACTGTCTGGAGAACTCGTTTCATTTTCTGTTTCTCACCACTGGAGACCGCCCTTTGGCCACAAACAATCTAAAATTTGACTATATACAGTGCATTCGGAAAGTATTCAGACCCCTTCACTTTTTCCAAATTTTGTTACGTTACAGCCATATTCTAAAATTGATGACAATTTTTTTCCATCAATCTACACACAATACCCCATAATGACAAAGCAAAAACAGGTTTAGGAATGTTTGCAAATGTATTAAAAATAAAAAACAGAAATACCTTATTTACATAAGTATTCAGACCCTTTGCTATGAGACTCGAAATTGAGCTCTGGTGCATCCTGTTTCCATTGATCATCCTTGAGTTGTTTCTACAACTTGATTGGAGTCCACCTGTGGTAAATTCAATTGATTGGACATGATTTGGAAAGGCACACACCTGTCTATATAAGGTCCCACAGTTGACAGTGCATGTCAAAGCAAAAACCAAGCCATGAGGTCGGAGGAATTGTCCGTAGAGAGCGCTGAGACAGGATTGTGCCGAGGCACAGATCTGGGGAAGGGTACCGTAAAATTTCTACAGCATTGAAGGTCCCCAAGAACACAGTGGCCTCCATCATTCTTAAATGGAAGAAGTTTGGAACCACCAACTCTTCATAGAGCTGGCCGGCCGGCCAAACTGAGCAATCGGGGGAGAAGGGCCTTGGTCAGGAAGGTGGGCCTTGGTCAGGGAGGTGACCAAGAAGCCTCAGTAAAAGGCAAATGACAGCCCGCTTAGAGTTTGCCAAAATGCACCTTAAGGACTCTGACCATGAGAAACAAGATTCTCTGGTCTGATGAAACCAAGATTGAACTCTTTGGCCTGAATGCCAAGCGTCAAGTCTGGAGGAAAGCAGGCACTGCTCATCACCTGGCCAAATCCCTACGGTGAAGTATGGTGGTGGCAGCATCATGCTGTGGGGAAGTTTTTCAGCGGCAGGGACTGGGAGACTAGTCAGGATCGAGGGAAAGATGAACAGAGCAAAGTACAGAGAGATCCTTCATGAAAACCTGTGTCAGAGCGCTCAGGACCTCAGACTGGGGCGAAGGTTCACCTTCCAACAAGACAACAACCCTAAGCACACAGCCAAGACAACGCAGGAGTGGCTTCGGGACAAGTCTCTGAATGTCCTTGAGTGGCCCAGCCAGAGCCCAGACTTGAACCTAATTGAACATCTCTGGAGAGACCTGAAAATAGCTGTGCAGCGACGCTCCCCATCCAACCTGACAGAGCTTGAGAGGATCTGCAGAGAAGAATGGGAGAAACTCCACAAATACAGGTGTGCCAAGCTTGTAGCGTCATACCCAAGAGGACTCGAGGCTGTAATCGCTGCCAAAGGTGCTTCAACAAAGTACTGAGTAAAGGGTCTGAATACTTATGTAAATGTGATATTTCAGATGTATATTTTTTATACATTTGCTGTAAATAAAAAGCTGTTTTTGCTTTTTCATTATGGGGTATTGTGTGTAGATTGATGAGGGGGGAAAAAACTATTTCATCCATTTTAGAATAAGGCTGTAACATAACAAAATGTGGAAAAAGTGAAGGGGTCTGAATACTTTCCGAATGCACTGTATACACTGGAGTGTACAAAACATCAGGAACACCTGCACTTTCCATGACAGACTGACCACGTTAATCCAGGTGAAAGCTATGATCCCTTATGATCCCATGTCACTTGTTAAATCCACTTCAATCAGTGTAGATGAAGGGGAGGAGACATGTTAAAGAAGGATTTTTAAGCCTTGAGACAGCTGAGACATGGATTGTGTATGTGTTCCATTCAGAGGGTGAATGGACAAGACAAAATATTTGAGTGCCTTTGAATGGGGTATGGTAGTAGGTGCCAGGTGCACCGGTTTGAGTGTATCAAGAACTGCAACGCTGCTGAGTTTTTCACGCTCAACAGTTTCCCATATGTATCAAGAATGGTATCAAAGGACATCCAGCCAACATGACACAACTGTGGGAAGCATTAGTCTGTGGATTTCAACACCTTGTAGAGTCCACGCCCCGACTAATTTCCTAATGTTAAGGAAAATAACCAGCACACATACACACGTTGAATACAAGATTTTATAAGACTTGTCTCTAAAACTGAACCCATATCCTCTGATGGAAGTGAAAAAGTGTCATACTTGGGGGGAAATTGTGTACAATTGGGTTTTTAATGGTTTTGTTCACAGTTCTACCTGTATTTGTTTACTGACCTGTTGTAAAGTAGCACTACTGTGTTTTATTTGTACGTCGTTTTTTGTGTAACCGTCTACTGGGGGTCAGGGGCTTGGTCAGAATAGCGGTAAGGGTCAAAGAGGTGACGCTGGTAATCATAGGGGTCAAAAGGTGATACAGTCTCCTCAGCAACAACTTCTTCCTTCACCACCTCCTCCTTCTCCCCCACAACAGCGGGGAGAGTAGGGGGTGGTGGTGGTGGCTCAGTCGCCTGGACAGGGCGAGGTGGGTGATCGATCAGGCAGTCAGGGTCCCAGTAAGGGTCACAGTCATACGCCATCCCTTTAATGACGATGGGAGGAGGTGGAGGAGGTTGGAGAGACTTCTTAGGAGGGGGTGGAGGTGGGGGAGGTACTTCAACAGCTGGCTCCAGAGGTGCTGCAGGAGCTGGCTCCATAGGTGCGGCAGCAATGACCACCTTGCCAATTTGGGGTTTGCAGGCAGGGTTGTAGCGTGGGTCACAGAGGACCGGGATGGCCCCTGCAGGCAGGTAGACGATGTGAGCTTTACAGAGGGGGTCTTTGGGGTTACACAGATACAGGACGTCAGCCTTAGTAAGAGAAAGTGGTGCTAGGGTAGTAGGAGGGGGCTGAGTGGTAGGAGGCAGTGTGGTGGTAGTAGGAGCTGCGGTGGTGGGTGGTGGGGTTATCACACCCAGGGCATTCTGGTAGCTTGAGGCGTCTGGGCCATAGACCTGCTCCAGGTGACGCATCTGCTGATACAGTATCCTGATCCTGTCAATCTCATACAGCTGCGAGGAATAGAGAGAGATCCACACAGGGTTTGAGAATGAGAGAGGGAGGGAAAGACAAAATAAGTGATCAGGTGGGTTGAGGAATGTGCAGATGACAAGAACCTGTAGTAAATCCTGTTTAACATTCATTCTAATGATGCAAAAATCAGCTTTAAGTGTCTCTCATGATATGATCCCTTTACTCACTCCTTCAATATGGCCTATGCTGTTGTAGAATTTGTAGTAGGACTGGAAATCAGGCGTGCCGCGGTGCCACTTGGGGTCGACGTTCCGTTTGGGGCGTGACTGAGACAGGAAGCCATGAGCCTGGGCGGAGTCGATGCTGACCTCCCCCACAGCTGCATTTAATGACAGGAATCATGGTGGGAGAGAGGGGGATGGGGACAACACATTTAGGCAAAATAATAAAACATTTTTTTCTCACGTGCCAACACTCTCTCGCACACACGTCAAACATAAATCAAACAGTAGGCTACACAATCAAACAAGCACGTGCCGTTGTTGTATTTTCTTTTACCTCTAGCCTTCAGAGGTGTAGCATCCAGCAAACCTGCAGAGAGGGATAAGGTGTCGAGAATACAAACAGGGTCAGAGGTGTTGAGAAGGGTCTCGCTGCAGAAATATCTGCAGACTCAGAAGTTTCTGAAAAAAGTTATTTCATAAAATCTGTTTGCGTTATCACGTTTGCAATAGAAAGCTATGCCCCCGTTCTATAGGCTATATTTAGTTGCCATCTAGGCATACATGTTAGTTTAGAGTGGAAACGGACCTGGCAGTAGGCAGCATAGTGTCCCCGTCAGGAGAACCTGAGAAATCATCCTTGCCACCTGGATAACACACAAAAAGACACTTGACTGGCGTAGAATACAGTATGAATTCTATTTGCTTCTGCTTTGATCATAGAACACACAAACATAACTTGCTGTTCACTTAGTTTATCATCCAATGTGCCAATACTACTACTGACTTGTTTCTTTCACATTTGAAACTACATCAAAATATCCTTTACTTTTATCAGACTACACAATATTTCAATTTACCACATGAATCAATTCAATTACCAGTCCATAATAGATTAATTACATTACACATGACCCTAAACTGACAAGTTACGCCTTGACTGAGCAGCAGTGACATTTTATATAGAATATAAAGATCTTCCCACTTCACTCCAGCAAAGGCTCTGGTGCTCCAACTTATGTCTACAGCATCAATTAACTCATTTAAAATATCCTGTTTTAGGCACACAATCAATCATTGATGCATGCAATCAAACTTATCCTTATACAATAATGATAAATATATTAATTGAATTAACCTAGTCAGGCCTCTTGACCAGCCTAATGATCAAAGCACATATTATATGAAGCAGATCATTTGCAAATTATATTCTTACTTGCCTGTACTTGTATCGCTCTTCACAGTCCAGTGTCAGTCTGAGACAACTTTACAGTTCATAAATACGGAACTCAATGCCTCTCATAATTTGGGCGCTTTCCATTGGCTATTGACCCCAAATAACTCCACCCTTTGCACCTCTACCATCCTTTTCTTCTTGAGACGTGGAAATGGTTAAAGCGCTCATTAAGCACTATTAGAAGTGTGTACCCGAGGGAATTAACGATAAAAGTGAAACTTCAAATGAAATAGGCTTACAACGCATTGTAAAATCATGACAGCCAGGCACCCGCTGAGGGCAGAAACAGTGCATGGGGCAGTAGGGTCCCTTGATGTTTTGGCCTCACTACAGCTGCATATGATCCTGTTAGAAATACTCTTCAGAAGAGATACATTGTAGGCTCTCTCTTCATTTCATATTACTACCAATATGGTATTGCATGATGAACATCAACTGACACATATACAGAATACTTGAAACTTTTCAACCCCTTTTCAAGTTTTTAAGCTCTGTTGAGACATGTGTTGGACTCCAAGGGGGTAATATTCGCAAAACAGCCCTTTTCTTGACGATACCTGCTTGAACAGCAAAATTAACGCCTTCTCTCAAAACAGCTGGGGTTTTCCGTTTTAACTTCTGTTACTTGGCAAGACAGAAATTAGGTTGGGGGTGTAGGGTTGACTTCTGTTTCAAGTAAATACTGCTGAAAAAGGAAAACAAAAGTGGTCTTTACTGCCTTGTTGTCACAGGTTACTAACAAATGACAACACTTTAGTTTCTTTGAGGCAGGCCTACATCACTAAAATACACCGAACATAACCACAGAACACCCTTATAGGTCATCATTAGCAGTTTGCACATTCAAATTCTAGGGCTCTAGGTCTAGGACACTGCCAACTAAAATAGAGTCTGTATGAGATGGATTAGCATAGAAGGGTACACACACACACACACAGCAAGCTTCTGCCACATTGCTGTCAGAGCTCATATTGCGCTACTTTACTATCACCCTAAGAGAGACAAATACATTGTACCTCTGCGATCTAAGGCAAATACCAGTACCTTGTCATCATGTTCTCTGCAGGGCATTGAGAAAGCACAAAGAGAATCACTACCCTTCATGAACCAGACAGGCGATGTGGCATGGGGGCCGCCTCCTTTAATTCTTCACTTTGAGAACACAGTCACTACTATCTAAAACACCTAAGAGGAACATTAGGCCTATTTGTACACCTACAGAAATGTTAACATCAATGAAAAAGGGGAACTGAGGGGTGGCAATATGACTGTAGGGGCCTTCATCTGGGCTGTAGTCGTGGCATAGAGTCAGAGGCCCCCTGAACGGGCAAGAGCCATACTTTTAAGGAGGCAGAGAGGCGTCTCAGAGAGATGATTAAACAGGTGTGAGGGGGACAGGGCAGGAATCTGAGAAATGCGCCAAAACAGTGGGGAGACCCTGACAGAAACACACTCACCATAATAAGAATATCCTGTAATGATACAGCAGAGGATTATAAACCACTTTCATGGCCAGCCTGTCCTGACCAGTCTATCCCCACCCCCTTCAAAGACATACATTCCAATGAAAATGAGCAGTTGTGTTTTGGGGCACACATTATGACAACATATTACACAACTACCATTATATGGCAGACAGTGAAAATGACTAATATTATATCCTTTAGGGGCACTTCATCATAATACTGCTAAAGATATTCTTCCCCAGCCATGCATGACACCTCTCCAATGCTCCACATTAGGGATAAAACACAATGTTCAATAGTATTTGGGGTTTTAGGCTGGGTATCTGTAAAACACTTTATGACAACTGCTGATGTAAAAAGGGCTTTATAAAATAAAATGGATTGATACAGTACAAACAACAATATGGCACGATGTTCAAAATATGTTATTCGTCACTGGCCTTTGCCACAAGTTGGGATGTTGTAGCTAAGAGACTGCTATCCTCCTCAAGACCAAGGGGATTTATTGTCATTTCGAATATTTGATTTGTCGTCAACTTAATAACAAGTACTATTTTGATTTACTAGTCGACACTGAAAGCTGTATTATTACTATTGCATGATTATAAAATACCTTCAAGCTACAGTAGAGTTCACTTCATTCTGTGGCACTTCATTCTGTTATACTACAACAAAACAAAGTCTCAATGCAAGATGGATAGGGTCCAAACAAACACTTTATTTCTGACTTGTTCATCTAAACATACACTTCATGTCACATTTCAAATACCTCTCATGTACTGTTTGTCATGTGATCTTACTATCCTCCACTGTACAATCCTTTACAGAAATATGGTTGACATTCTTGCCCTGCCTGTTCTCTGTGAGTTAACAGGCCTGTTTGTGCTGTCACTTCCCATGTTGCCCCCATCTGATCTGCTCCAGTGGTCGCGCTCTGCCAGTGCTGTCAGACCGAGACAAGTGCAATGCCTCTTAAGATTGCCGGCAATTGCCCAAGACTCCGCCTCTCAACACAAGCTAGTCTTAGTGGCCCCACTTAGAATGTAAAACCACAAGGAAGCATAGCACGTTCCACGACCAGTTGCAATAAATTCCAATAAATTAGAGAAAATGGTGAAACACAAAATGACTCCTGGGCTGTTCAGGGAAAGAGACAAGCTGTGTAACTCAGTCAGACAGCTATCATAGTAGCTAAAGGGCCCGGGCCCTATTTGGGTCAAAGAGGAGACAGCAAAGGTGCAAGTCGATATTAGGTTTATTTGTGTTGACAAGGGGTAGTGAGTCAGGAAGGGTGATCAGTTCCAGTCATAGTCAGTTTTGCATGGGTTTGCACAGCGACTCCGAGGTGCACAGGCTGACTGTTCACCCAGCAAAGCTGACCAGAACCAGCAGCAACGTGGTTGGATGTTTTCAAGGGATCTAAACCTTTGTGAATTCATATCAGACACACAGCATCTGGACTGTGCTTTCATTATAGTGCAAAACCCACACTAGAGATCCCTGGCAATGTTATTTGCAGCAACTGTGACCAAGGAATTCCTACCCTCTGGTGGAAATGGATGAGTGGTGCACCCTGTGAGTCAGGAAGTGCTGGTTTTGCAGTAGGTCTGATTAGTTTATCTACCTGCACAAACAGCACTTTGGACACCAATGGGCAAAAATTGCAAGTTCAGTGGATCCCACCAATTACAGAAACGATGTAATTGTGGAAATAGAATGAAGTGGACTTCTTTTTATCACCAAAATGTTGGATGACCACGTCAGATTTGAGCAGATAGGGCGTCTGCCTTGTGACAGAAGTGCTCACATTGCGGTAGGTAGGGCATAACCATTACCTGCACTGTAAGCACTTTATTACATAGCAGACAAGCTCCCCACAAAGCACCAGCACAGAACATTCTCAGTAAACCTTGTAAGGCATCTGGGGTCTCAAAACATTAATTAAATGAAATGCAGCGGTATGTAATTAGGGGGTGAAGTGTTCAAAAGATGCAAGCAAAATGTTTATGTATAGACTCTCCATGTTCCCACAGTCCATAACACTCACCCTCAGGCCTTATGAATGGTCAGTTTGACCCAATCCTAGGGAACTGAAACTAGGCATTGAATTGGCAGGTACAGTATGTCCCACGGTCTGAATAGACTGCTCCAGGCCAGTTGCAGGTACTGGGGAAATAATATTGCATGTTAATGTCTGAATAGCAAATCATGAATCCACAATATCAAAGTCCATTAATAATGTAACATTGTAAAACATACGTGTAGCAATGACCATGGCCTAACCTAATGGAGGAACTGGTGTGTGTGTGTGTGGGGGGGGGGGGGGGGGGGGGTTGCAGAGATTGATTGTAAACAAACGTTTCACCCACGTGACCTTCCCCTCCCCCCACCTAAAATCCACACGAGGACATCCCTGTAATAGTAAATGTACGCTCTATGCAATGTTATTAGAGCGCCAATCTATTGCAGAATAGTTAGCTGGCTTCGAGTAAATAGGTTTCAGTGCGCAGTCAATTATTCTCCCACACACCGAATGTTAAAGTGCACTTCCAAAATTAGATAAGGCATGAGTCATGACACATTTAGCTATTATGACAAATCAAACAATATAACTAGGTAAATCTGGTGATGCAGTTCAGAGCTAAACAAACTTTGCGCTCGTTGAGATGTTCGTCCTTACAAATGCAGCTAATGAAAGGTAACATTTGTGCCACTTTCTTCAGGGGTCTTTACCCTCCTTCCGAAATCTCTTTGTTGCGTAACTAGCTAGCTAGCTAACGTTAGCAAGCTGGCTAGTGGCTACACACCATCCGGTGCTTCCACACCTGATACCGCAAAGTTACTGGCAAGCTCCATAATGCTAATTGCCGAACGATTTGAGTAATTTACGCAAACAATTTCTGGTTTGATGGTCAAAGCAACATTGATACCAAAATAATCCGAAATATGGGCGCGCATGTCAAAGGCCACCTACAAAGTAAATATACGCGTTTTATGTCTCATGCAACAAAAAAAAGGACAACAAATTCATTAGATTATTCTTCAACTACACTAAAACGCAGACTTTCTCACCGGTTGTGCGACTCACTTCTTATATGTCCAAATTCCAGGTTCTTTATATAACTATTCACACAATTTCACCACTCCACAAACAGCCGCTGTTTTTGTAAACAAAGAAGCACATGGCTTCACAGCCATATATCTTAAGCGAAATACATTTTCCTACGCTCATCAAATAGTACCTGCACTCCATTTCTCATTTATTGGCTTTTCAGACATTAAACAAAATCGTTGCTCTATTGAAACGTCCATCCTATATCAACGAAAGGATACATTTTAATTCGTTTTAAAAAAATGAATGTCTTCAAAATACCGCTTCGATGTTGCAAAACAGGGCGAGGCAAGCCGCGAGTACTCCGCCGACATCCCTGTCAGTGCACACCGGATGGATGGAGCCTGTGACGCATGGGGTCAATATGTTTAGGAACTCTGTGGTACAACACATATGTTACTTTACCTAGTTACAGTATTTGATCATCTTGGGTAAACATTTATCCCTCACAAAATTAGCCTTTGTAATATCAGCCCTGAGCCTCAAATACATTTTTGTTTCAACATTTCAGAACTCGGACCCAAGCTGCATTATACCAGTCTACCAGAGGGAGGCAGAAGCAAGCACGAGGACTGGGAGACGTACGACTCGATTACACCGAAAGTGCTATTGCATTTTGGTACACCAGAAGTACATTCATTTTCAATAGAACGCTGCCTTTGACTTGCAGTGTTGCAAAGGCAGTTTCAGTGCGTTCTGTGTGGTGCATACATTGGATTTATTGAATTTATGAATCAAACGACAAACTGTATGCGTAGACGGCTTGACAGAAATGGTAGCAGAAGGTGAATGTTGAACTTTTGTTCACACATATCCAGATGATGCTGCGTACCATTTTTGTGTTACGCCTCGATCACACCGACAGTGTAATTGCATTTTGGTACACCAGAAGTACATTCATTTCCAATGGAAAGCTGCATTTGCCTTGCAGCATTGCATTGCAGAGGCAGTTGCAGTGAGTTCTGTGCAGTGGCGGTTGGTGCCATTAAAGATAAGGGAGGACGATTTTGGGGCCTTATTTCTATTACAACATATTGGATAACTGTCATTCATATTCCATCTATCCAGTTTAACATAGATAGGTTTAGGCTACTACATGATACTCAAATTTTCCCTATACCCATCATGAGGTTGCTACAACCTAGCCTATGAATTCAACGTAGGTGCACACAGGTCGAGAGAAAGATTTGAGGTGGAAGATAGTGACACACGGACAGACAGTGACACATTCAATACCGCCTTGCACACTCTTGCCTGCATCTAGCTAACCTAGGGTGTAATCATTAGTCCAACAGTTGCAAACAAGAGTTTCTGTTAGACAAATTCAGGTATGTTTATCCCCGTTTCGTTCTGTTTGCTTCCGTTTAAGAAACGTTTTTAATCAGAATCGGCGGAATTAATACACCCCTGATCACACGCAAATAGTTCACTTTCATAGCCACATACAAACAGCTCGCTGTATTCCTTCTCGCATCTACGCGCTCTCGTCCTCTCATCTTTTCACTTCGCTTGTGGACTTCAATGCACAACACATCAGCTGTCTGTGACCAGGCGAAAAAACCTTTCCAAGCCAAACCTTCATATCATAACCGCAGCTAGCTCACCATATTAGCTAAAGTAACGTCATAGTCAACATAGCTAATAGAACTAATGCGTTAGTAAACCCGCTAAAGTAACGTCATAATCAACATAGCTAATAGAACTAATGCGTTAGTAAACCCGCTAAAGTAACGTCATAATCAACATAGCTAATAGAACTAATGCGTTAGTAAACCCGCTAAAGTAACGTCATAATCAACATAGCTAATAGAACTAATGCGTTAGTAAACCCGCTACAATCATGCAGTTCCAGTGTTGGATAGTCATAGCCAGCTAGCTAACATAGCATTCCTCTGTTTGAGCCGGGTTTTTGAGTATGCTAAACTAGCTAGCTGCATTTGGTAGCCAGCTAAATTAAAGTGAAAAAAATGAAATATAGCTATTTCTCGCTCTCTCAATCTCTCTTGCTCCTCCTTCATTTTTGAATAAATTAATTTGTTCAAAACTGTTCAACTATTGTCTTTCACTCTCTTTGAGTCAACTACACACCACATTTGATGTACTGCAGTGCTAGCTAGCTGTAGCTTATGCTTTCAGTACTAGATTCACTCTCTGATCCTTTGTCTAGGTGGACAACATGTCAGTTCATGCTGCAAGAGCTCTGATACGTTGGAGGACATCCTCTGGAAGTAGTCATAATTACTGTGTAAGTCTATGGAAGGGGGTGAGAACCTTGAGCCTCCTAGGTTTAGTATTGAAGTCAATGTGCCCAGAGGAGGACGGAAGCTAGCTGTCCTCTGGCTACACCATTGTGCTACCCTACAGTGCTGTTGAGGCTACTGTACACCTTCATTGCAAAACAGTGTGTTTTAATCAATTATTTGGTGACGTGAGTATATTTTGTATAGTTTGATTTAAAAAGGATAACTTTTTAAATGTAAAAACTATTTTTATTTTTCTGAAATTCACTGACAAGGATGGTCCTCCCCTTCCTCCTCTGAAGAGCCTCCACTGGTGTGGTGCATACGTTGGATTAATCTACTGAACGTATGGCACAAGCTGTATGCATAGACGGCTTCACAGAAATGTTAGCAGAAGGTGAATATTGAACTTTTGTTGCACACATATCCAGATGATGCTGCGCACCATTTTGAGCAATAACACTGTTGGTGTGATCGAGGCATTAGGTCGCATTCCTCTGCTCAGATGTAGCATGCATCAACCAATGGTTGCGTGTCACCATTGACTGTGTCATCGAGTGACAGATTGATATAACATATGATGTGGTTAGCTAATACATAAAATACCCATCCAGGTGTTGTAATGCCTCGATCACACCGACAGTGGTGTTACATTTTGGTACACCAGAAGTACATTCGTTTCCAATGGAACACTGCGTTTGCCTTACAGCATTGAGTTGCAGATGTAGTTGTAGTACGTTCTGTGTGATGCATACGTTAGATTTATCGAACGTATGCGTGAAACTGTATGCGTAGATGGCTTGACAGAAATGGTAGCAGAAGGTGAATGTTTAACTTTTGTTGCACACATATCCAGATAATGCTTCGTATAATTTTGCACAAGAAACTGTCGGTGGGATCAAGGCGTAAAATCTGGCATGCGACAGCAACGCCTATGCAAAGGCACGCGCCCTCAGACTGTTTTGTCCCTGTTTTATCGCTGCTATACTAGCAGTTCTCAGCGCCAATGTTAGCAAGGTACGAGGCCAAAGTTTACAATACTGCAACCCTAGCCAGAAAAAGCTATAAATGACTAGGAAAAACTAGCAAACTTGCTTAATAATTAATCTCCGTGATTGTCATTGTAGCTGTTAATCGAAGCCGAAGAAAGTCCACGAAATCTGAATTACACCCAAATCACTGTACTGCTATCAACATAATTGACTGGAACACACACGAGATCCGTTCTGTGAGTACTGCATACTCAGATTATCAGACCATACGAGTTGATTTGTTCTCAATCAAAGCAATTAGGTAATTCGGGGAAATTATAATTTGTGCAGGAGTCTCTGACGCGAATAATCCACATCAACTACTGTCTATAGTTGTGAATCTGTCCAGTGTTCCGTCTAAACCTATTTTACATTCACAGACAATGTATTTGGCTCGGGTGTTTTGCCGTTTACATGGCTATTTGCAACCCATTTCGAAAGCACAGGCTCCTTTGGTCTCTGGACTCATACGGACCCAGAATGAAGTGAGGTGTTGGAAGTATACTGCTGCTCCACAGTCGACGAGTTGTCACTGGCAACTTCAGGAAGAATGCCTTGGTGAGTGTCTTGGCTATTGTTTTTTTTTATATGGGCTTCCCTTTACGAAAGGCTATGATTATTTGGCATTTGATTCGCTCTAGCTGCCTATGTGTGAAGTTCAAATTGTTCATATCAAATACAATTGTATTCGTCACATGCTTCGTAAAACAGGTGTGGACTAACAGTGAAATGCTTACTTACTTCCTAACAATGCAGAGAGAAAGAAAATAGAGAAAGAATAAAAAAAAACAAGTAATATTAAAAGTTATAATAGATACACAAACGATTAATTGGCTATATACCAGGGGTACGAGGTAATTGGAGGTAGATATGTACATATACTGAACAAAAATATAAACGCAACGATTTTACTGAGTTACAGTTTAAGGAAATCAGTCAATTGAAATAAATAGATTAGGCCCTAATCTATGGATTTCACATGATTGGGCAGGGATGCAGCCATGGGTGGGCATAGGAGGGCATAGGCCCACCCACAGGGGAGCCAGGCCCAGCCAATCAGGATGAGTTTTTTCCCAAAAAAGGGCTTTATTATAGACAGAAATACTCCTCAGTTTCACCAGCTGTCCGGGTGGCTGGTCTCAGACGATCCCGCAGGTGAAGAAGCCAGATGTTGGAGGTCCTGGGCTGGCGTGGTTACACATGGTCTGCGGTTGTGAGGCTGGTTGGACGTACTGCCAAATTCTCTAAAACGACGTTGGAGGCAGTTTATGGTAGAGAAATTAACATTCAATTCTCTGGCAACAACTCTGGTGGACATTCCTGCAGTCAGCATGCCGAATGCACACACCCTCAACTTGAGACATCTATGGCATTGTGTTGTGTGACAAAACTGCACATTTTAGTGGCATTTTATTGTCCCCAGCACCTGTGTAGTGATCATGCTGTTTAATCAGCTTCTTGATATGCCACACCTGTCAGGTGGATGGGTTATTTTGGCAAAGGAGAAATTCTCACTAACAGGGATGTAAACAAATGTATGCACTACATTTCAGAGAAATAAGGCTTTTGTGAGTATGGAACATTACTGGGACCTTTTATTTCAGCTCATAAAACATGGGACCAACACTTTACATGTTGCGTTTATATTTGTGTTCAGAATAACTAGGAATAAAGTGACAGATAGTAAACAGTAGCAGCAGTATATGTGATGAGTCAAAAAAAGTTAGTGCAAAAAGGAATCAATGCAGTCTTATGGCTTGGGGGTAGAAGCTGTTTAGGGTCCTGTTGGTTCCAGACTTGGTGCATCTGTACCACTCCAGACATGGTGCATCTGTGATAGCAGAGAGAACAGGCTATGATACCCACTGGTATAGAGGTCCTGGATGGCATGGAGCTCAGCCACAGTGATGTACTGGGCTGTACGCACTACCCTCTGTAGCGCCTTGCCAAGTTGCCATACCAAGCGCTGATGCAGCCAAAATGCTCTCAATGGTGCAGCTGTATAACTTTTTGAGGATCTGAGGGCCATGCCAAGTCTTTTCAGCCTCTTGTTACTTGAGAACCAATGTTGGACTTTAATCTGGTACAGTGGTTAGAACAGTGTCTGGACCTGGCACTTCACACTTGAATAGGCCAGTTTCCACATTCTACGCTAATATTTACTTGTAAATCTAACATTTGAATCTTCAGAGCTCAGCTATGGAGGGCTTATGATGCACTTTGACTATGTGTGGCTACGGGATCATTGCCGCTCTGCCTCCTGCTACAACAGCAAGACCAACCAGAGGAACCTAGATACATCAAATGTGGAGCTGAACATACGTCCCACCAACACCAGGGTGGATGATGAGAATCTCTTCCTCACATGTAAGTCTTGGTTTGAAGATTGCTTCTCTCAACTAAGGGGGAGGAGGGGGGGCTGAAGAAACCCAGGACCAATTTCGTCTCACATCACATACGTTTCTTTCTTTGTTTTGATTTGCTGTAAAAAAAAAAAAAAAAGTAATATGAATAACTACAGTTGGTTTTGGCATTATACATAGTTTTCTTTGGAATCAAAGTGAAGAATTACTTGTTTTTTTCCTTTAGACCCTGTGGGAAGCCCACATTGTGAAGTAGCCTAGAACTTCTCCACTGCCAAACCTGAGATAGTTACTGCATTGTTCAGGGAGACCTTTGCCTCTTGTAAAAGGCTGTAATGACGTACTGTAGACATTGCAGACATTGCTACCATATGATTTATTTTACACTGCACCCAGAGTAAGGGATATAATGGTTACAATCAGTCATTTCATTTGAGGTCGTATATCTAGGTCTGTTTGATATCGACAAGAACTCTAAATCCATGCCAGTCATTCATGTTTTTTATTTCATCCCATTTTCTCTTTGGCAGCACTTTGATATATGCACCTATTGTTACTCATCATTCTTTTTAACAGTTATTGAATGTATAATAGAAGGAATTGTCTTTGATTTGTCTATTCCAGGGCCCGATGGTCATGTGACAAGGTACAACCTGAGTTGGCTGGCTCAGAACAGCTATGAGGGACAGAAGCAGAGTGCCATGCAGCCACGCTTCATCTGGAACTCAGACATCTATAGCAATGCCAAGGTGCCCTCTGCCAACTGGGACAAGTTTATGACCTGTGATGATGAACTGAAGAAGTTCCTTAGGAACTTTCTGCTGTATGGCATTGCTTTTGTGGAGGGTGTCCCACCGACTGTTGAGGCCACAGAGACGGTTACCCAGAGGGTCAGCCTCATCAGGTACTGGCCTCTGTTAGGGAATGAGAAGGGGGTGTTCAGGAGGCTTAAAAGTAGCAGCATACCACCCACCACAATACATACAAACATAAATGGTTTTGGAATGGGAGATTATTTAATAAGGGGTTAGGACAAACACCCCAGACATCCCTGGGATAAAGTATTTTGGGGGGCATTTCAAAAGCTTGATATTTATCAGGGTTATTTATCAGGGTTAGCTTGTTTACAATGCTTGTGTTACAAAGCAACAGTGCTACAGGGAAGATGTTGGTTTCCTTAACAACAAACTCTTGATACTTTTTGCCAAGTTAACATGCACAACAAACTTTCTCAGCACTTAGAATGGAGGGTGGATTTGTCAAAGAGGAGAAGAGAGAGTAGAGGTACTTTCTTCTCATTCATCCACCAGGTTCATTAAGGACTCCACAGGTGGTGTGGGTTTGAAGTTTCCAATGCCTGAACCAGCACACTAATCCCTCTTTATACTAGACTCTAATTTGGAGTGAAGAGGGAGGAAGCAGTGTCTTATAAGAAATGCATTGCACATGTTCTTCTAGTCCAGTAACGCTACCACCCGGTTACTCAACCCTGCACCTTAGAGGCTGCTGCCCTATATACATAGACATGGAATCACTAGTCACTTTAATATGTTTATATACTGCTTTACTCATCTCATATGTATATAATGTATTCTATTCTACTGTATTTTAGTCAATGCCACTCCGAACATTGCTCGTCCTAATATTTATATGTTTCTTAATTCAATTATTTTACTTTTAGATTTGTGTGTATTGTTGTGAATTGTTAGATACTACTGCACTGTTGGAGCTAGGAACACAAGCATTTCGCTACACCTGCAATAACATCTGCTAAATATGTGTATGTGACCAATATTTATTTTAATTTATTTGACATTTGGTCATCATAAGTAATCGCCCTCCTCCTGACACCCCAAAAAAAACCAAAATATCACTATTTGGAGCAAAGTTGCCATTATAAACCTGCGTTTTGAATTGTTCTTGTATGATGTTGTCGGTATTATTTTTGAGACAGCTGACTGTACTTTGTGTTTTCATTCTGGTTTCCTATTAGGGAGACTATGTATGGCAAGATGTGGAACTTCACTTCAGATTTCTCCCGAGGAGACACTGCCTACACCAAACTGGCCCTGGACCGTCACACAGACACTTCATACTTCCAGGAACCTTGTGGGTACGTATTCAGATAGAAGATGTTCACACACGGATGGGTGTTAATTGAACTGTGTTTGAGTTATCATGTCAGGTCAATTTAGCAAGGCAGCACACATGCTGATCTGTATCTGGGTTAGGTTGAGATTCCTCTTCAGATGAAGACAGACGTTAAACATCTGTAGGTTATTGTGTTAGGCTATTACAATGATGTGGTCTTCTGTAGCTGAGTTGGCAGAGCATGGCGCTTGCTACGCCAGGATAGTGGGTTCAATTCCCGGGACCACCCATAATTGAAATGTATGCACGCATGACTAGGTCGCTTTCGATAAATGCGTCTGCTAAATGGTGTATATATATATTATATATTATTGTATTGTTAGTCAAATGGGAAGTTGTAACAACAGATTCAGCATTGTGAAACAGGCCATTTCTTTTGGAAGCTGCAGTTTGACACCTGTTTGACACCTGTTAATGGATTATTTTAACTGATAAGATGCAAGCCAGATGCACATTGCTATGCCACAGATTTATTGAATCTTGATAAAAGAAGATAAAGTACACTGTGAAACTAGGCTCCACCTTGGTGTCCCATGAAATGACAGGGCAATCCGCCATCTACTGGGCATTTCATAACATGTGACTTACTTTGATGCCATTGACTTTGATTTGCAGGATCCAAGTGTTCCATTGCCTTAGACATGAGGGAACGGGAGGAAGAACACTACTTGTGGATGGATTCTATTCTGCAGACCAAGTGCTCCAGAAGATGCCTGACAACTTTGAGCTGCTTGCCCGGGTGCCTATCAAGCATGAGTACATTGAAAATGTCAGCGACCACCGCAACCACATGATAGGCATTGGCCCTGTGCTCAGCGTGTATCCCTGGAACAATGAGGTGTACATGATCCGGTATGACCAGTCTGTTTTAATTGAGATGTGAATGTCTCCCTGAATGTCTTGCTTTAAACATATCTTCCAATGTCATCATAGGCCATGCAACCTCTAACCAGTCTTGGTTAGCTATTAACTCACAATGTTGTATGCATTTGAGAAATGGTACACCCATCAATATGAATTAAGTCACTTGGGAAGGTTCTTTGTAGAAGGCTCAGGATTTGTTGCTCATAATAAAAATAATAATGCATACACCGTAACACTTGTTAATCCAGAGCTAGCTCCTTTGAGATCAATGTAATGAATATATGATCTAATATTGAGGATTAATATGGTATCACCTCCTGCTTGGTTGCATCTCTTACAGATACAATAACTATGACCGTGCAGTCATAAACACTATCCCCCATGACATTGTCAAGCGATGGTATGTGGCTCACAGAGAGTTGACCACAGAGCTGAGGAAGCCGGATAACGAGTTGTGGGTCAAACTGAAGCCTGGAAAGGTAAAGAAAAAAAGATGCCTTTTCATTGATCTAGCCAGAAAGGATTAATCACTACATGTTGATATAAGAGGGGGGTGGGGGCATTCTGAAACCAGGATTGGTTTTCAGGGGACGGGTAAAGTCTTACAAAATCGTACACAAACAATACAGTATGTTCCCTCTTTTTCTGGTAGGTTCTCTTCATTGATAACTGGCGTGTCATGCATGGTCGGGAGTCCTTCACAGGCCTGCGGCAACTGTGTGGCTGCTACCTGACCAGAGACGACGTCCTGAACACTGCCCGCTCCCTGGGTCTGCAGGCCTGAGTGAAGAAGAGTCTCCAACCCTTCCAGCCAACAGCAAAGTATTTTATTAGATGTGTTTAAGTCAAGAACATGGACTGTGATCTGTTTGGGATAATATTTGTACACACGCATTATGCATGCATATGCTCTTGTCACAACAACAATCATCTTTTGAACTGGAACCTAACATGTTGAGGTGTTTAACATATTGGCTTTGTTTTATCGGATTAGTTATTAATCTTAAATTCTTCTAGTACGTCTCAATCACTACATAGCACTTTTACCAGACATTTAATTGTTGATTCATGTATTTAGGAACTTTTGTCTTGTATACATGCTGAAATAAATGTGATTTTTTTCCTGATTTCTATTGGGTGGCTGTCTTTTTTGTTGTTGTCATGCCCAGACAGACTGACATGCATTAAAACGTATCCAGCATCAAAGGAAAGTACAGATGAGAGTTATTTTGTATGAGTGTCATGCATTCTTTTATAGTTTAATGGTGGCATGTAATCAGAAAATGTTTAACTCTAGTTAGTACTGTTCGATTTCCTTTTTTTTCTCGTTGTGGTGATTCTAGAATGAACTATCGCGTGGCTTGGTTGGGCGGTAGCACTTTTTCTTAAAAAGTCATGCGCATTGAGCACACCGTGTCCACCTCAGTCTCGTTGCACACCGAAGATGGCGGACGTAGAAAGTAAGTGGCCTGCAGCCCGCCTTTGCACATCCTAACGTTACTATCTATCAAACTAGCAAGCTACAAGTACTGTGCAATGTGATGTGTTTGTTTTTGAAGGATGTGTAGCTAGCTACGACGTTTCTTATTTGGGGTTAATTGTTACATAATTTTATCAGCACCCTCAACATGGAGGCATGATCAAGCAGGCGGCCACGTTCGCAATAGCCTTGCATGACCTAGTGTAAACCATGTGGCTATCCAACTAGCTAGGTCTATGGCATATATATTTACCTGCGTATGTTCCTAGATGGTATTGCAATCTTGCCGAATTTTGTCAGCAAGATGGCCAGCTAACTTTAGTTAGCTAAGCAAGTCATAAGTAGCTAAACTTAGTAAGCTGCTAACGTAACTAGCCTTACTGTACTTAGTTAACTTCATAGCTAGTACTATCAACAAACTAAGTGTTTCTGGGTAACGTTAGTGCCTAATGCCATTCCCAAAGCTAGCTACTGATTTTGTTAATCACACAGCCGAGGTGGTGGCCACGCTGTCTGTGAAAGGGTACTGCAAGTTTATGAATATAAACTATTTTCGGTTAACTAGCTAGTTAATTTGACATATCCGAGTTGTATGTGGATGTTTGTCGATATACAAGTTGATGTGACTGCTGACATACAACCTCGTTTGGTAAAATAGGCCCTAAAGGCAGATTATATTGTTGCGCCACCAAAAGTACCACGTGCCCGCCGTGTCGGCCACGTGGGTGCGCCTTACCAAATCCAGTGTGGGCTTCCAATGATGGCTGACTTGGAACTACCGAAATTAAATATAATTTCTTACTCAGTATATAACCATTTCTTTATGGTCTGAAATAGTTGACAATAATGGTATGTGTACGGAGATGACATTTAACTATTAGTTATCAACCACCACCTCTGAAAACGGGGGATCCCCCAGTAGATAAATCTCATGCCATGGAACAATACATTTTGTGGGTAGTAACATGTATCCCTTTGTTTTTGCTTTCAAGTGAACTCTGCCAAAAAACAGAAGAAGAAGAAGGAAAAGACAGTTGCTGATGACGACGTTGGGGTAAGTCCTTATTATAATTGTTATGCACCAGTTGGCTGAAAGCTTTTCACTGTTATAGATTAAAATGGTAGTGTACATTTTCCCCCAACATTTTTAAAACAGGATATTCAGGAGAGTGGTGATTTTCTCATCAAACCAGAGTCCAAAGTTGCCAGTCTGGACACATCTCAGTGGCCATTGCTGTTGAAAGTGAGTTTGGCTTCTCTTTGTCCTTGTCATCGATCTGTAGAAGCAGGATGCTATATCTGAAGTGATGAACTTGTTTATCCATTCGCTGAGTGCTGCTGGGCCCTGGCCTTGCAGCCTCCTGTGTCTGTTCTTGACTCAGGGGGTTCAGCGGCCTGACTCTGTGCTTTTGCCCCCAGTGTTCTACTGGGGTAACTGCATGGGGTCAGGTGTGCTGGTGCATGGGTCAAGGGCCCGGCCACAACTAAGACGAGCGTAAACTCCTGATCACATGCACATCCCTTACTTTGCAGTTACATTTTGGTATTTGTAACCAAAATGACTTCTCCCCGATGACTTTTTTTTGCCTTTCAGAATTTTGACAAACTCAACATCAGGACAGCTCACTACACACCCTTGCCAAATGGCTCAAACCCTTTGAAGAGGAACATTCAGGATTATGTCCGGTAACCTTTGGTCCATAATTTTTTCTTCTTCTTCCAAGCCACATGATGAATGTAAATAGATTGCACTAGCACTATGTGCAAAGATGACTTCTTATCTATCACCCTTGTCTGATGGCTCTACATGGATGCCTTTAAAATTATTGATGTCTTGTCTGTGATTTCATTTTTGCTCCACTTATCTAACCCCATGTCGATCCATGTGATGTGCAGGACAGGCTTCATCAACTTGGACAAGCCTGCCAATCCCTCCTCTCACGAGGTGGTGGCCTGGATCCGACGTATCCTGCGAGTGGAGAAGACTGGCCACAGTGGCACCCTGGACCCTAAGGTGACAGGCTGCCTCATTGTGTGTGTGGACAGAGCCACACGACTGGTCAAGTCCCAGCAGAGTGCAGGTGAGTCACCTTGTAAACCCAACCCCTTCCTGCTCTGACTGTTTACCTCCTGATGGTTATGTAAACACATTAAGATTGGCCTCTCCTTACTACTCTTCTGCCGTCTGTTTCAGGCAAAGAGTATGTGGGAATTGTTCGGCTGCACAATGCTATTGAGAATGAGCACACGCTTGCTAGGGTAAGTTCACTTGTTAATGCAGTTAGTCTTATCTTAGCATGGCTCAGCGTTTAATTTAACTGTAAAATGATACTTTTTCATATGAAAACCATATGAATGGTTTTCGACATAGATGTGAGATGATGAACGTGTTTATCCATTCTCTGAGTACTTGCTAGGGTCCTACTTTCTCTGTGGTGCTCATGTCTGTTTTAGCCATGAGTGTCTGCTGTGTCCCTGGCTCCACTCTGCCACCTCAGTGTTCTACTGGGGCAGCTCATGCTGGAGACGGGGGCAGGACCGGAGGGCCCTGCGATAACAAAGACGAGTTGACACACCTGATCACACATTAGAAAGGAAATGGGTGTTATACCTGTGTTAGGGGACATCATGGTTAATCCAACACTTCTCTTTTTCAATTTTTTTAGGGTATTGAAACCCTCACAGGTGCTTTGTTCCAGCGACCACCTCTCATCGCAGCCGTTAAGCGCCAGTTGAGAGTGAGGACTGTTTATGAAAGCAAACTCATTGAGTACGACCCAGAGAGGAGATTGGGTAAGGAATCTAATGTATTATTTCCTCATGCTCAGGGGGGGGGAAATGCAGTACTTTAATTACAATTCAATGTCATTATATAATATGCCATTTAGCAGACGCTTTTATCCAAAGCGACTTACAGTCATGTGTGCATACATTTTTACGTATGGGTGGTCCCGGGGATCGAACCCACTACCCTGGCGTTACAAGCGCCATGCTCTACCAATTGAGCTACAGAGGACTAGAAGCTGTTAGCTTAGAGAATAATCTAACTGTATTGTTTGTTGCAGGTATTTTCTGGGTGAGCTGCGAGGCTGGTACATATATCAGAACCCTGTGTGTCCACCTGGGGCTCCTCCTTGGTGTTGGTGGTCAGATGCAGGAGCTGAGAAGAGTTCGCTCTGGTGTTCTGGGAGAGCGGGTGAGTCTCACCTCTTTCTCAACCCTTTGGCTGTGTTTTGTCAGTGGTTAAATTGAAGTCCAAAGTGTTGAGTTCAGCTCTGGGCCTCTCCCCAGTCCTGGTAATTATTCTTTGGCACAGAAATGGCATAGAGTGGCTCTGAATAGAAAGTAGACATGCCAGCCACTTTATTCCACTCTAGCCAACATGTTATGGAAATGTTGATACTTAGGCCTAAGTTCTGTTTAATGTATCAGGTGTTCTAGACCCATTCAATGTTGGAACTTGTTCTCTGCAGGACAATTTGGTGACCATGCACGATGTGCTGGATGCTCAGTGGCAGTATGACCACAACAAGGACGAGACGTACCTGCGCAGAGTCATCTACCCACTGGAGAAGCTTCTGGTGTCGCACAAACGTTTGGTCATGAAAGACAGTGCAGTGAGTTGATTTTTAATTGGTAGTCTGGGTGTCATTTTCAAAATGTGACCTTGTTTAGAGGACTGAAAAATGTATTTAAATAAATGGTATGCTTTATTTTCTCCCCAGGTGAATGCGATCTGCTATGGCGCAAAGATAATGTTGCCTGGTGTCCTACGATATGAGGATGGCATCGAGATGAACCAAGATATTGTGGTTATAACGACCAAAGGAGAGGCGATTTGTATAGGTGAGCAATAGAAATATGCTGTTCTGCAAAGCAATTGGAAGGTTTTTCAAAGGCCACATGATGATCTCATAGACTGCATTAGCACTTTGTGCAATGATGACCTATTATCTATCACCCTTGACTGATGGCTTTGAAAAACTAGATTTCCTCCATATAAATGTTTTATTTTCGTATCTCAAGTTTCCCCTTTCATTTTTCAGCTACTGCCCTCATGACTACTGCAGTGATCTCCACATGTGACCATGGTGTGGTGGCCAAGATCAAGAGGGTCATCATGGAACGCGACACTTACCCCCGCAAGTGGGGCCTGGGGCCCAAGGTAACACCTCTTGTGCAAGCTATTGGTAGTCTTCCCATTTACAACTGTTTATGCTTTTATTGCATTTATTATTATTAGGAATATTCTGATTTCTAATTAACAGGCCAGCCAGAAGAAGATGATGATCCAGAAGGGTCTGCTGGACAAACATGGCAAAGCCAACGACAGCACTCCATCAGACTGGAAGAAGGGCTATGTAGATTACAGGTGTGAAGCCAGTCTAATATGGGCTAGATGGAGCAGTGTGGTGTTGAAACCTACATGCATGTTCTGATTCTAGCAGGTAGCTTAGTGGGTAAGAGCGTTGTGCCAGTAACCGAAAGGTCGCTGGTTCTAATCCCCGAGCCGACTAGGTGAAAAATCTGTCGATGTGCCCTTAAGCAAGGCACTTAACCCTAATTGCTCCTGTAAGTCGCTCTGGATAAGAGCGTCTGCTAAATGACTAAAATGTAAATGTAAATGTAGTCAGCAGACGGTTATCCCTTTCTGGTCTGCCCCGTGGTCTCTGAGGGAGTCAGTCTGCAACATTAACTCTCATAGCTCAGCAGAGGTCTGGTCATCAATTCTGCATGTCTGGCAGCTGAGCTGTGTGAACATGCATAGCTATTAGTTCCCACCCATGTGGGTTAACTTGCGAGAAACTTGAGGACTATTTTGTGGATGTAGGTGCATTTGTAAATCAGTCTTAAATAAGGAATGAGTCTGATACAAAGACTGACATGTTGCCTTCTCATTTTCAGTGCGTCCAAGCCCAAGGCTGAAGGAACCGGCAATGGTGAAGCAAAGGTATGCTAACATAAGTTTATACTCTGGTATTGATTGATTTTAAATGGATCAGTATTGGCCACAGGAGGCTGCTCTGGGAGAACAGCTCATAATAATCTCTGGAAGGGCGCAATGGAATGGCATCAAACACCTGGAAACCATGTGTTTGATACATTTAACTAATTCTGCTCCAGTCATTATCATGACCCCGTTCTCCCCAATTAAGATGCCACTAACCTCCTGTGGTATTGGCACATGCTAAATAAGCAGTTTATGCCACATAAGTTAAGGTCATAATGAGATCGACTAAATGACAATTTCTCAAATTTTCAGAGGAAGAGAGAAGACAGCGATAGTGATGCAGCAGCCACCCCAGCACCCTCTGCACCTTCCACTCCATCGGCAGAAGACCTCAAGAAGGAGAAGAAGAAAAAGAAGAAGGAAAAGAAGCAAAAACTAGAGGAGGCGGCGGCACCGGAGCCAGCAGCAGAGACAGACGGAGAGGTGGGTTACTACTGCTGGACCGCTGCATAACATTGTGGCTCTAGAGAGAGATTCTGGTTGCAGGGAGGGACATACTGACGTTATGGTTTTCAGCAGTAGTTTCTCAGTAAATATACTGGTAATGTACATTGAATTAATAATGTGCCATGCCTACTAGTGCACAACCAGTGCAGACAGTTATCCCTTTCCAACCTGCCTGTGGCTTCAGAGGGAGTCAGTCTGCTACATTATCGGGGGTGTGAGTCTTTCTAGCATGAGCATCCGGTCATGTTGGTTCCTTACATTTTCCACATCTACTTTGTTAGCAAGTCGCTACACCCAACATGCACTTAAACTGCAGAGGGCATTTTCACTTAGAATTTTGAATTGCTTTAAACATTTGCCCAAAGAATAACACATGTATTTATGTGCAGGTGGGTGAGAGTGCCAAGAAGAAGAAAAAGAAAAAGAAGAAGGAAGTGGAGGCAGAAGCGGAGTGAAGAGCTTATGGACAATGAAAGGACCATAGAACGTGAGGGTCAGAATGAGTGCCTGCAGATAGTTATCCTACAGATGCAACGGGCGCTGAAGAGGCAGCAGGCTGGGCAAGAACCCAGAGTATAATCATTTTTTTTGTTAATCATGTCTGTCCAGAATGACCACACATGGATAATCATAAGGGGCTTAGACTGGGTTAGTCTTATGATCATACGGTTGTGACATGTCAACTAGAGCCATGCACGGGTATGAATTTTAAGCCATTCAGGCCCTACCCATGCCTGCGACATTCAAGCCCTACCCTACCCAGGCCCGATTGCTTCTGCCAAATTTAAAGCCCGGCCCTAGCCGAAATCAGAAGTAACTTCCTCCGTTAATAAATCCATTAACTGCTCCTGTCTGTCACTCACTCCCTGGGCACAGGCAGCTTGCTCTACATGCACTCTGCTCATGGCGCTCTGCGTCTTGATAATCCACAGCACTGGCTCCGCTTAGGCTTCTCTGCTCAATGACGAGACATGAGAGCAGTGAGCTGTTCGTTACTTTTCGTCACTCTAAACTCAGATAACTCAAGGAACATTATTTTCTGGGAAATAATCTCTTTTATATTTGAGGTTGAATCACCATGTTATGATCTTAGTCAGATATGACTACTGCGCAGCAGATCACGAGCAAATGGCCCAGCTTCAAAATGTTAGTGATACCCGTATCCTAGTTATTTTTTGGGGGGGAAACAGGCCCTACCCAGCCCTAACCTGATGTATAATGTCTGGGTTGGGTAGCAGAGCTCTAATTTCAACCGCCCCTGTATGACCTTTGTTTTTGTACTCAAATTTGGTTTTTACACATTTTAGGTACTGTCCCTGTGTGGGCGTTGGTTTCCTCTGGGCGTACCCTCAACTGTGTGAAATGCCATTGGCAGGTTTTTATATTGTACTGTAAATACAAATGAGCTGTAATCATTAATTGTAATTTGAAATGAAATGTTTTTTTTGTTGTAATGCTGCCTTTGTCCTTTTTCTACCTAGTTTCTAGGATCTGAGGCCATTTTCTACAGTTTAATGACTTGAAGGGCAGAGGTAGAATAATTTTGTATTGACACACCTTTCACACCAACTGACAGTGAAACTCGGCCAGTAATATGGAGTAGGAGGGAAATGTAATTCAGTTTGAAAGTGCCTTACACGAGGTATACATCTGAGTTGAGACCATTGAGGTTGTCAACAATTCACTCAAGATAAGACTTGACAATTTCATGTAGATCACATTTTCCCTGTAATTTTAACACATTACCATATTGACAATATAGCCACGTAAAATCATGACACCCTGTTACAATTAAACCCGAGTTAAGGATACTGATGATGAAACCCTGTCGGGTAAAGTTGTGTTACGTTCACAGTAGTGGTTCTCTATGCATTAACATGCTAACAATCATAGCTGCAGCCATATGGCACCAATCATTCAGCACCTAAAAAGCCAGAAGCACGAAGAGCTTACAAATGTAAAATATCCCTTTGTGGTGAGGTTCACTACTTTCTGAAATAAAATGTTATTGCTTTTTAATGCATTTGTGCAAAACTTAATGACAGTAACCATAGTGATTAGCTGCTACCCAAACAGTGTGGAGTATCAGTAATGTGTGGCCAGGTCTTGTGGTGTGATATTGCAACAGTTTTTGTTAGACTGTTCTTTAGGGGTACACAGGTCAGTAGACCCAGGAAACCGGCACCCATTGTGGGGTGGAAGTGGCTTGCTCTATGGCCGCCTCCACGCCTTTCACACTCTCATCAACGTCGTTGTTAACCAGCAGCACATCAAAGAAGTGTCTGTAGGTGGTGCGGATGGCATCCGACTCCTCCTGGATCAACTGCACAGCTTCCGACTACAAGAGAAGGTACAGAGATGTCAAACTCCTGAGAGTTTCAGGATTTCATTACTTATTAGAAAGGTTGATATGGTATAAATGGTTGGAGAGAGATGCATTTTGAAAGGTCCTCAAATAACCAAAATACCTGGATATAACGAATGAGTAGTAGTGTACCTGGGTAGCTGAGTTGGTAGGTGCAATGAACACCACTAGAGGCGCGAAGTCTGCCGTCCGCAAGAGTTTCAATGTCTTGATAACAAGAAAACGTAAGCGCCATATTATTCATCGGACACAAATGAATTGCAATTCTAACCAACATTAGTATTTTGTGTATATAAAAAAAAAAACCGATATATACAAAAGTATGTGGACACCCCTTAAAATGAGTGGATATCACTATTTCAGCCACACCCTTTACTGACTGGTGTATAAATTGAGCACACAGCCATGCAAACTTCAGTAAGAATGGTCTTACTGAACAACTCATTGACTTTCAACATGGCACTGTCAGATAGGATGCCACCTTTCCAACAAGTCAGTATGTCAAATTTCTGCCCTGGTCAACTGTAAGTGCTGTTATTGTGAAGTGGAAACGTCTAGAAGCAACTACGGCTCAGCCGCGAAGTGGTAGGCAGAGTGCTGAAGCGTGTAAAAGTCGTCTGTCCTCGGTTGTTACCCTCAATACCGAGTGCCAAACTGCCACTGGAAGCAATGTCAGCACAATAACTATTAGTCGGGAGCTTCATGAAATGGGTTTCCATGGCCGAGCAGCTGCACACAAGCCTAAGATCACCATGTGCAATGCCAAGCGTCGGTTGAAGTGGTGTAAAGCTCGCTGCCATTGGACTCTGGAGCAGTGGAAACGTGTTCTCTGGGGTGATGAATCCTGCTTCACCATCTGGCAGTCTGACGGACAAATCTGGGTTTGGCGGATGCCAGGTGAACGCTACCGGCCCCAATGAATAGTGCCAACTGTAAAGTTTGGTGGAGGAGGAATAATGGTCTGGGGTTGTTTTTCATGGTTTGGGCTAGGCCCCTTAGTTCCAGTGCAGGGAAGTCAACGCTACAGCATACAATGACATTCTAGACAATTCTGTGCTTCCAACTTGTAGCAACAGTTTGGGGAAGGCCCTTTCCTGTTTGAGCATGACAATGCCTCCGAACACAAAGCGAGGTCCAAAGAAATGGTTTGTCAAGATCGGTGTGGAAGAACTTGACTGGCCTGCACAGAGCCCTGACCTCAACCCTATCAAACACCTTCGGGATGAATTGGAATGCCGACTGCGAGCCAGGCCTAATCGCCCAACATCAGTGCCCGAACTCACTAATACTCTTGTGGCTGAATGGAAGCAAGTCCCCGCAGCAATGTTCCAACATCTAGTGGAAATCCTTCCCAGACGAGTGGAGGCTGTTATAGCAGCAAAGGGGGGACCAACTCCAAATTAATGCCCATGATTTTGGAATGAGATGTTCAATGAGCAGGTGTCCACATACTTTTGGTCATGTGTAGTGTACATTAAGTTCTATGCCTACCTGTGGCTCCACATCCAGCAGGGCGATTTTGCCTTGCTCATGGATCTTCTGGATAGTCTCCATTTTGGTTCCAAACATGAACCCCTGGAAGCTGCCATACTCCAGCAGCTCATTCCCAGTGATGCACTTGGTCATGGCATCGTTGGAGATAAAGAAGTACTCCTGCCCGTTCTCCTCGTCCTTACGTGGGGGTCTGGTGGTGTCTGTTGTTTGGATCGAGCCACAGTTAATGCAGGTTGGTGGATTTGGCAAACCAAATTGCTTTCAAATCAGATAGAAGATCATTAGAAGTAAAGGTCATACTTACGTGGTGCGGGGTAGGCAAACTTCTCTGGGTATTTGGTCAGCAACGAGCTTTTGATATGGCTCCTTCCTACACCTGGTGCACCTACACAGAGAGATTACAGAAGGCATTGGAGGTTAATCTACTAACTGTTATTGTGATTTTAAAAAAAATATGGCAGGCAGGTCTTGATTATGACGATCACATAGGGAGCTTACCAATAAGCACCAAGGTTTTTCTGCTGAAGGCAGGGAGCCGAACAACCTCTTCATAAGAAATCACGTCCAACTGGTCAAAGACTAACATGGGAGAAAATAATACACATGGGTGGTTTAGGGATCTAAAACAATACCATGCAATGTAGAATACATTATACATGTAGTTAGTATAGGTAGTTCTCAAGATTGTATTGGGTATAAACAAATCACAAGTATTACTAGAGCTGTGCTTGGCCAGATACTTGTCTTTACACTTCTTCTTCTTTCCAAAGGGGCTGCAGGATTGGGTGCCCACTGTGGCCCTGCTTTTACTTGCCACCCGCCTGGAGCAGAGAGGAGAGACTAGGGGTTACTCACACTGAAAACTATTCTCACCTACAATCCATACAACGTTTTTAACTTTAACATATTACCGCTATATATTCGAGCAAAGTGTTCTTTATTTTGGGGTTTAGAGCAAAGTGTGTTTTTCAGCGTCTAATGTTTTTGTTAGGATTAAGATCATGCCAGCTGATACTTGGGATTCCAGTACTTTAGAGCAACTTTGAGGCAAAAGCTTTTTTATGAGTAATCAGAAGTGGGTGGACTACTCTACTTTGCGGATCATACCTTTCTTGAACTTCTGGGGAGGGGATGATTCCAGCAAAGTCGGCGGTAGAGCTGTCCACCCGGCCTTGCCACCAGTTTGGATCATGCTTGTTGATGATCTGAATGATGTCTCCTGTTTTGAACTTCAGCCCTGCTTCTTTGCATGGGATGAGGTCATCCTTGGCAGGGTCGTAGTCAAACTGAGCCCTCATGTACATCTGTTGAGTAACACACAACAGCTGCACACACAGAGATGGCTGAGAGGACATGATCTCCTTGCTGGGAATTGGGCAAAAATGTTTGGAATATGTGTATTGCGGTTAATATGGTCTTTGCAATGATTTATAGCACTGCAGTTTCCAGCATATGGTAGAATCGTATATTACTCTAAATTAAGGAGATAGTGCAGTGGAAACTTAGATGAAACTTACCTGTCTCAACAGCATCCTAGATGTTAGAGTTAGTTCGTAATCTATCAGTTAATGGGTCACAAATGCTTCCCATGGTATTATGCTCTCCGACGTAACATACAGAGGACATAGTAGCATCCACAGGAGGGATTTGGGCTCCAAAAGGTTATTGTTTTCTATATAGTTACCATCTATCAATGGGCTTTAAATTAGACTGCCATCACTGACCACACTACTCGAGCAGTTATCATAATGCCTGGACATGCTTCTTTTATTCTGGAATTGACAAACATGACTTTGGTTGAAGCGTTTGTCATTGTGTTGTATAACACTGTTTTTCAATTAGTTTACATTTAAAAATTAAACTAATTTCTTGAAATGTTTAATTATTTTAGGTTGCGAGGCAGAACAATCATTATCAACTGCCGCAAATTGGGGGGGTATGATGGTATAATGTGACCAGCAGATGGCAGAGTGAATGAAACGCTGAACACTACCAATGTGTTTCAGTTCAGTTCGCCAGACTAACATGAGTGATGATCTGTATATCAGGCCACTAGTGGAATCTAATGGTTGTATAGTCACCTGTGTCTTTCATTGGCTTAAGGGGAGGATTCGCCTGACAAAGAACAAACTCTATTTAATATAGAGGATTTGGGAGAAGACATGATTGGAGGTAGAGGGGGGTACCGTATCAAAGATGTGGTTACGTTTCAAGCATGGTATCATAGAAAAATAACCTTAACACTGTGGTACCTAGTTTATTTGTCTTATTACAATGGAGGTAGTGAATAATAGGAACAGTATTTTGATTATGTTATAGCACGTGAGTAGAGTAGGTTATGAGTCAATGGCACGAATAGATGACACTATAGTGACTGAGGCCCTCTGTAATGACTGTCAACCCCTTGCAAACTAAAGGATGTACTATACAGTGGGGAGAACAAGTATTTAATACACTGCCGATTTTGCAGGTTTTCCTACTTACAAAGCATGTAGAGGTCTGTAATTTTTATCATAGGTACACTTCAACTGTGAGAGACGGAATCTAAAACAAAAATCCAGAAAATCACATTGTATGATTTTTTAAGTAATTAATTAGCATTTTATTGCATGACATAAGTATTTGATACATCAGAAAAGCAGAACTTAATATTTGGTACAGAAACCTTTGTTTGCAATTACAGAGATCATACGTTTCCTGTAGGTCTTGACCAGGTTTGCACACACTGCAGCAGGGATTTTGGCCCACTCCTCCATACAGACCTTCTCCAGATCCTTCAAGTTTCGGGGCTGTCGCTGGGCAATACGGACTTTCAGCTCCCTCCAAAGATTTTCTATTGGGTTCAGGTCTGGAGACTGGCTAGGCCACTCCAGGACCTTGAGATGCTTCTTACGGAGCCACTCCTTAGTTGCCCTGGCTGTGTGTTTCGGGTCGTTGTCATGCTGGAAGACCCAACCACGACCCATTTTCAATGCTCTTACTGAGGGAAGGAGGTTGTTGGTCAAGATCTCGCGATACATGGTCCCATCCATCCTCCCCTCAATACAGTGCAGTCGTCCTGTCCCCTTTGCAGAAAAGCATCCCCAAAGAATGATGTTTCCACCTCCATGCTTCACGGTTGGGATGGTGTTCTTGGGGTTGTACTCATCCTTCTTCTTCCTCCAAACACGGCGAGTGGAGTTTAGACCAAAAAGCTCTATTTTTGTCTCATCAGACCACATTACCTTCTCCCATTCCTCCTCTGGATCATCCAGATGGTCATTGGCAAACTTCAGACGGGCCTGGACATGCGCTGGCTTGAGCAGGGGGACCTTGCGTGCGCTGCAGGATTTTAATCCATGACGGCGTAGTGTGTTACTAATGGTTTTCTTTGAGACTGTGGTCCCAGCTCTCTTCAGGTCATTGACCAGGTCCTGCCGTGTAGTTCTGGGCTGATCCCTCACCTTCCTCATGATCATTGATGCCCCACGAGGTGAGATCTTGCATGGAGCCCCAGACCGAGGGTGATTGACCGTCATCTTGAACTTCTTCCATTTTCTAATAATTGCGCCAACAGTTGTTGCCTTCTCACCAAGCTGCTTGCCTATTGTCCTGTAGCCCATCCCAGCCTTGTGCAGGTCTACAATTGTATCTCTGATGTCCTTACACAGCTCTCTGGTCTTGGCCATTGTGGAGAGGTTGGAGTCTGTTTGATTGAGTGTGTGGACAGGTGTCTTTTATACAGGTAACGAGTTCAAACAGGTGCAGTTAATACAGGTAATGAGTGGAGAACAGGAGGGCTTCTTAAAGAAAAACGAACAGGTCTGTGAGAGCCGGAATTCTTACTGGTTGGTAGGTGATCAAATACTTATGTCATGCAATAAAATGCAAATGAATTACTTAAAAATCATACAATGTGATTTTCTGGATTTTTGTTTTAGATTCCGTCTCTCACAGTTGAAGTGTACCTATGATAAAAATTACAGACCTCTACAAGTAGGAAACCTGCAAAATCGGCAGTGTATCAAATACTTGTTCTCCCCACTGTATATGTATAGTATATATACAGTGAGGGGAAAAAGTATTTGATCCCCTGCTGATTTTGTACAGCATATGCAAATGAACTGTACATTTGTGATAACATTATTTACATGTCTAATGATGTTTTGATAAGAATTTAGTAAATATTTTGCTATAATGTTGCTTTTTACAATAGTTTCTTCTTGGGGTCAAAATGTACATTTTACATTTTAGTCATTTAGCAGACGCTCTTATCCAGAGCGACTTACAGTTAGTGAGTGCATACATTTTTCATACTTTTTTCATACTGGCCCCCCATGGGAATCAAACCCACAACTCTGGTGTTGCAAGCGCCATGCTCTACCAACTGAGCTACAGGAGGCCCCAGTTTGTAATCCATGTACAGTGAGGGAAAAAAGTATTTGATCCCCTGCTGATTTTGTCCGTTTGCCCACTGACAAAGAAATGATCAGTCTATAATTTTAATGGTAGGTTTATTTGAACAGTGAGAGACAGAATAACAACAAAAAAATCCAGAAAAACGCATGTCAAAAATGTTATAAATTGATTTGCATTTTAATGAGGGAAATAAGTATTTGACCCCCTCTCAATCAGAAAGATTTCTGGCTCCCAGGTGTCTTTTATACAGGTAACGAGCTGAGATTAGGAGCACACTCTTAAAGGGAGTGCTCCTAATCTCAGTTTGTTACCTGTATAAAAGACACCTGTCCACAGAAGCAATCAATCAATCAGATTCCAAACTCTCCACCATGGCCAAGACCAAAGAGCTCTCCAAGGATGTCAGGGACAAGATTGTAGACCTACACAAGGCTGGAATGGGCTACAAGACCATCGCCAAGCAGCTTGGTGAGAAGGTGACAACAGTTGGTGCGATTATTCGCAAATGGAAGAAACACAAAAGAACTGTCAATCTCCCTCGGCCTGGGGCTCCATGCAAGATCTCACCTCGTGGAGTTGCAATGATCATGAGAACGGTGAGGAATCAGCCCAGAACTACACAGGAGGATCTTGTCAATGATCTCAAGGCAGCTGGGATCATAGTCACCAAGAAAACAATTGGTAACACACTACGCCGTGAAGGACTGAAATCCTGCAGCGCCCGCAAGGTCCCCCTGCTCAAGAAAGCACATATACATGCCCGTCTGAAGTTTGCCAATGAACATCTGAATGATTCAGAGGAGAACTGGGTGAAAGGGTTGTGGTCAGATGAGACCAAAATGGAGCTCTTTGGCATCAACTCAACTCGCCGTGTTTGGAGGAGGAGGAATGCTGCCTATGACCCCAAGAACACCATCCCCACCGTCAAACATGGAAGTGGAAACATTATGCTTTGGGGGTGTTTTTCTGCTAAGGGGACAGGACAACTTCACTGCATCAAAGGGACGATGGATGGGGCCATGTACCGTCAAATCTTGGGTGAGAACCTCCTTCCCTCAGCCAGGGCATTGAAAATGGGTCGTGGATGGGTATTCCAGCATGACAATGACCCAAAAACACACGGCCAAGGCAACAAAGGAGTGGCTCAAGAAGAAGCACATTAAGGTCCTGGAGTGGACTAGCCAGTCTCCAGACCTTAATCCCATAGAAAATCTGTGGAGGGAGCTGAAGGTTCGAAACCTTAATGACTTGGAGATGATCTGCAAAGAGGAGTGGGACAAAATCCCTCCTGAGATGTGTGCAAACCTGGTGGCCAACCACAAGAAATGTCTGACCTCTGTGATTGCCAACAAGGGTTTTGCCACCAAGTACTAAGTCATGTTTTGCAGAGGGGTCAAATACTTATTTCCCTCATTAAAATGCAAATCAATTTATAACATTTTTGACATACATTTTTCTGGATTTTTTTGTTGTTATTCTGTCTCTCACTGTTCAAATAAACCTACCGTTAAAATTATAGACTGATCATTTTTTTGTCAGTGGGCAAACGTACAAAATCAGCAGGGGCTCAAATACTTTTTTCCCTCACTGTATATATATATATATATATACAGTACTAGTCAAAAGTTTGGACACACCTACTCATTTGAGGATTTTTCTTTATTTTTACTATTTTCTACATTGTAGAATAATAGTGAAGACATCAAAACTATGAAATAACACATATGGAATCATATAGTAACCAAAAAAGTGTTAACCAAATCAAAATGTATTTTATATTTGAGATTCTTCAAATAGCCACCCTTTGCCTTGATGACAGCTTTGCACACTCTTGGCATTCTCTCAACCAGCTTCACCTGGAATGCTTTTCCAACAGTTTTGAAAGAGTTCTCACATTTGCTGAGCACTTGTTGGCTGCTTTTCCTTCTCTCTGTGGTCCAACTCATCCCAAACCATCTCAATTGGGTTGAGGTCGGGGGATTGTGGAGGCCAGGTCATCTGATGCAGCACTCCATCACTCTCCTTCTTGATGTTGGGTCATTGTCCTGTTGAAAAACAAATGATAGTCCCACTAAACGCAAACCAGATGGGATGGCGTATTGCTGCAGAATGCTGTGGTAGCCAAGCTGGTTAAGTGTGCCTTGAATTCTAAATAAATCACAGACATTGTCACCAGCAAAGCACCCTCACACCATAACACCTCCTCCTCCATGCTTTACGGTGGAAACTACACATGCGGAGATCATCCGTTCAACCACACAGCGTCTCACAAAGCCACAGCAGTTGGAACCAAAAATCTCCAAATTTGGACTCCAGAACAAAGGACACATTTCTACCAGTCTAATGTCCATTGCTCGTGTTTCTTGGCCCAAGCAAGTCTCTTCTTCTTATTGGTGTCCTTTTGTATTGGTTCCTTTGCAGCAATTCGACCACGAAGGCCTGATTCACACAGTCTCCTCTGAACAGTTGATGTTGAGATGTGTCTGTTACTTGAACTCTGTGAAGCATTTATTTGGGCTGCAATTTCTGAGGCTGGTAACTCTAATGAACTTATCCTCTGCAGCAGAGGTAACTCTGGGTCTTCCATTCTTGTGGCAGTCCTCATGAGAGCTAGTTTCATCATAGCGATTGATGGTTTTTGCGACTGCACTTGAAGAAACTTTAAATGTTCTTGACATTTTCCTTATTGACTGACCTTCATGTCTTGAAGTAATGATGGACTGTTGTTTCTCTTTGCTTTTTTGAGCGGTTCTTGCCATAATATGGACTTGGTCTTTTACCAAATGGGGCTATCTTCTGTATACCCCCCCTACTTTGTCACAACACAACTGATTGGCTCAAACGCATTAAGAAGGAAACAAATTCCACAAATTAACTTTTAATTCCAGGTGACCACCTCATGAAGCTGGTTGAGAGAATGCCAAGTGTGTGCAAAGCTGTCATCAAGGCAAATGGTGGCTATTTTGAAGAATCTCAAATATAAAATATATTTTGATTTGATTAACACTTTTTTGGTTACTACATGATTCCATATGTGTTATTTCATAGTTATGATGTGTTCACTATTATTCTACAATGTAGAACATTTTACAAATAAAGAAAAACCCTTGAATGAGTATGTGTCCAAACTTTTGACTGGTAGTGTATTTATACCTGCAGTATTTCTCTGATGACATAATTTGGGATATCATGGCAGAACTAGTCCAACAATGAGCATAACTGTGCTTGAATAGTAACCATTTCTTTGATTATGCATGCAATTGAAATGTGATTTAAGGGTGAAAAAAATTAAATAAAAAAATCAGTCCAGATAGTAATTATAGCCATGTCCATTCAGAAAGGGGAAATGTGCAAATTCAATGGGTCATTTATTGGCTTACCTCACACACAAGAGAGAACCGTGGCTGGTTGGGGATGATTTTCATTGTGACTACTCCGTTGGTATCTTTCTGTAATGGAGGATGACAACCATTTTACTTGCACTCCACACTATCAAAACTATGACTGTGAGATTGCAACATGTCACCCATTCTCTCAGGGGCAGAGGGTTCTTCAGTATATTTTCTTTGTTAAAATAGAGACAGTAGGGACTTGCCAGGATCTTTTGTAGCTGGTCAACAGATTGGTTGGCCACACTCGTTCCATTGATCTCTGCTATTTCATCCCCTTCATGTAGGGAACCTGGAGAAGGACAGGAAATTATCAGCACCAGTACAGAAGACCAGTATGGCCAGAAAGTGTTATCAGGCAAATAACCAATGTCTATTTGCCATACAAGTATGGGGATACTGTTGCTGTTCTAATACAAATTCATTCCAATCACTTCAGTATGTTTGTCGATGTGGTTGAGTTCTGTACCTTGTCTATGTATCATGCCCCCATGTAATATTCTGGCCACAGTGCACTTCTGTTTTCCATTAAATTTCAGAGTCACACCCTAAAGGCAAAAAACATTAAACCAGCACACATCAAGCTGTCGTCAAAATGACAGAGTGAGTCACAGAGATAGAGAGGAGAGACGGGAAGGGAAAGGATAGAGAAAGACATTGGCATCTGAATGATTTACCATGGGCTCTGAGGGATTTACCATGGGCTCTGAGGGATTTACCATGGGCTCTGAGGGATTTACCATGGGCTCTGAGGAATTTACCATGGGCTCTGAGGGATTTACCATGGGCTCTGAGGGATTTACCATGGGCTCTGAGGGATTTACCATGGACTCTGAATGATTTACCATGGACTCTGAATGATTTACCATGGGCTCTGAATGATTTACCATGGGCTCTGAGGGATCTTTTTCAAACGCCACCTCACGTATCCTAGTTGTCTCAGTTCCGTTCATGTGACCAGCACTGCCGTTGGTGTATTCTTCTGCTCCTTTTGTCTCATAGGCTGGCATAACCCCCTATGGAAAAACATGTCAAGACTTAACATCAATAGGCACAGGAGATGGATTCATTTACAATAGGATACTGGGGGGAAAACTCACTGTGAACACAACTGCAGTGTGCTTCTATACGACATGCCATTTTGGATGTTCATCTGGACAAAATGTCATAATCCATCCAAAACATCCAAGTTTGCAGGGCTACCGGGTGTCAATGGTTGGCCCTATTTGTTTTATAAGTTGTGGCACAATGCAATCATGGATAAGCCTTTTGACAATCTCATGCAAAGCACCCAAACAACTCAAAACTCAAAAGCATTGCCAGTTGCAGCAATACAGCTACAATTAGTATCATTTTGTTGACTAGGAATAAATAAATAAATTGTAAATACAATGAGCTTAACATCCTGATCATCTGATGTCAGATTATTGGAACATTGGCATTTCTAGTGGCGTTATAAAAGCTTTTTTCGGCTGTGTCCCAAGAGCCATGTTTAATTCGCAGTTTCAGCATCTGTTCAGGTTTGAAAATTAACTACACATTTTCACCAGCTCATTAGGCAGGGACAACCCATATCCGCTGCTCTGGTTCCCCTGCTAAAAGGTTGTCATGGCTACGCCTGAGTGAGATCATGTTTCGAAGAAAAGTATTGATATGAACAAACAAATCCCTCGTAAAGATTAAGACATCCATTACATCAACACATAGCAACCCTGGCCACTTGACCACTGTCTGGCTGCGAGAACACTGAACTGTGTGTAATGTAACTCAAAGGAATGTGGCCTTTACTGGTGATCCCTCACCTCCACTCCACCCGTTCCATTTCAGCAATGTGCAAACCAGGTTTGATTGAATAGAAGTACAAATGCCAAATGCTTAAGTACACCAAAGTACTCTATGCGAATGACCTTTTTATGACCTTAAAATACCACAGCAGCTAATTCGAAACAGGGATCCAAAAGTAAACCATGAAATTATTTTAAGCAGATTGGAGACACTGGTGCCTTTCCTTTCCTTAGTTCCACACATGGAGAGGACAATAGAAGAGGAGCGGTCCAGATGGGACCTCCTGTGGGATTTGGCCTGCTCTGCTGTGTGGATGTCTCTCCATTAAACACAGTGCTGCACAAGCTTTTATCACACTACCTAATTCACTTTTACTGCTTTCACCCCCGGCCCCATGGGCATTATCATATTGCTAGCCCTGCCAGGGATTAGTAAAACCACTCACGTGGATGGCCATCATACTAACCTAGCCCCTGACTTCTCTGTACATGGACCCCTGGGTGACAAAGGTTACTTACCACCCGTAAGGTGCAGTAATGGAATTAAGCCTCCTATACTCCCTGATGGAACATGCTGCCAGCTCCAGCAGTGTGAGTTTGTGTAATACAAGCTCTGTGGCTTGAGAGATGTTATTTAACATAGATAAGTTTGAGTATCTTTTAACTGATAACTGCAAGTGTCTCTTCATTGTTAACGATCTGAAGCTCTATGGGGACATGGAACGTAATAACATTAATTCAGAGAAATCACAAGGTGCCTTTATCAACCATAGATAAGCTAAGAATTTGTTCAATGTGTTTGACCACATCACGCTGACACAAGTTCATTCGCAATGACTCTGATAGCTCTGTTTTGTTTCCACAGTTATCTGCTCACCCAAAAAATCATTAGGCCTATAAGAATGGGTTAATCTGTCATAGTTCTTTATATGAATAGGAATCAGTACGCCAGTAGTCTTGTCTAGTGTAGTCAATTCCAGTGACTAAATAACGGGAGATGGCAGTGATGTCTTTGAGGGAAAACAACAAGGCCATAAAAATGACTAACAACTCCAATGGCAATGAGCTGGTCTTCCGTCATCATATTTTCACAAAGCAATTTTCCTTTATCTTATTGGTTTTAGTCTCTCCTTGTCCCTTGTAGCTGAGTGGGTCATCATTAGAGTGTGTGTTCTATGGGCAACAATGGTCAATTCTATTATTGAACAATCGTGTGGAGGTTTTAGGACAAGGTCTATTATGCCTATTTCTATACTCACCACCCCCCAGAAATCCTCCTAAAGTTGTCTGCCTCGGAGGAATACAGATAGATTTTGAACAAAGATTGAAAGCCAACTGTCAAACTTGTTACCGCTGTTACTTACAGCCTGATCCTTCACCCAACCACTTTGACTGGGTCTAAAAACATTTCAGGAACAACCAGTTTGATGTTTGTCTGTTTTCCCCCTTTAAAGAGGAGCTGTGTACACTCTGTACACTATCTCAATATGGACAAGCCCAGGCTCTATTGTGAAAAAAACTGGTTGTGGGGAGCCTTGAGAAAAATGCTGAGGTAGGAAAAATTAACCCTGATCCTGACCATACCTCCCCTGACTGAGAATGACAAAAGGATACTGTCAAAGCTTGACAGAGGCCATTTTCCTTTCAACACAAACCACAATAGGCTGTGGATTCTTTCCAACATGTGAATAGACTTTAATGTTAAAACAACAGTGAAAACAAAAATGACCAAAGACAGATGTTAAGATTATGTGCCCTGTTTGGTGCAGCTGCAGCAGCCACTGGCCATGGGGAGTGAGGGGGCCTAATCATGCAGAGTGCATGGGAGATTCCTCTTCCCTACGGGGGATACATTCCCTACGGCGTGTCTGTGTATCTGAGGTGGAACACAACAAGGTTTCAACACCATGTGGACTAGTCTGCAGTGTTCTAGTAAAAGCCTAGAGGTGTCTTGTGGTCAATGTGAGTAAACAAGTTGTTTACTCTGCAACATAATACAGATATTTACAGGAGACCAGTACCAGGAGTGTAGAAATAGTCTCTGTCATAACACATGTAGTGGAACACTCTTCAGACTGGATCCAAGGTAAACACTATTATAACATCCCCATAGGGCCATAGAGTGCAGTATGCTGCATGTTTACCAAGACGGACCTGTCGTGGCCTGTTTTGAAAGAAACTGGTAGGGGACACATCACAACAGTTTCATCATCATACAAACAAAAAGGTTGAAGTTCACTAATCATATTGTTCAGCACACAGGACTAAGTCATAAAGAGACAGGCTCACCCAGCCTTAAATCCCCCTAAAACGTGCTGACCCTGGTTGGACTGCAAAGGAAGTCACATGTCCAAAGGAAACTGCCAGACTTTGGTCTAAAGGGTAACTGGTATCATCTGGATAATTAATATCTTTAATAGCAGAAAACAGCTGAGGTCAGCTGAAGAACACACAGCACTTGCATTTCTTGAACAAGCTTACTACAAAGTTGAAAAACGTAGACTTTCCATTTTTGTGTGAATGATGACCCGGGCATACTTGGTTCCCACTGTTACCAGCCGACCTTGATGAACTGTCTGCCTACTGGGCTGTGATTTTAAGGTCAGCTTTGTATAATTGATGAGCTTTAGTTTTCCTGAAGCTTTTTTTGGAACTTCTCGAAAAGGGAAACCAGGGATTTTTACAAGATCCATTTCCATAGTTACAGCCAGGAATGAAAAAGGTGTGGGTCTAAAGCCAAGGTGTCAAACATACGGCTTGCAGGTGGTTTGAGTAAAAAAAAAAATATATATTATATATATAACTCAGTATACTTTAAAATGACTATCATTTGCTGAGTTTCAGTGCGGCCCTCCGGACCAGGTTGAAGACCGAATGCGGCCCCCGGGGCAAAATTAGTTTGACACCCCTGGTCTAAAGTGAGACAGAAAAAGTAGAGCTGACAGCCATTTAATACCCAATACAGTTTGAAAGTTAGTTTGCCAAGTGAGCTATCAACAGTCCAGTTACAGCTAAAGTCTCTTCTGTTATCTCAAAATAACAAATTACCTTCACCATATCTCGTAACATGGACACATAGTGCCTTTGTCCAAAAGAGTCCTGTTACTATGTCATGTGAAATACAAAACTTGTTATGCTGTTACAGTCAAATTAGGTAAGCACCCACTGTAGATATTATCAGTTTGACAGTAAACAAAGTGGGTAATCCTCCTCAACAAGTAACACCGTTTAACTATAGCATTATTAAAAGATTACAGCCGCTCATGGTATAATCCCTCCCAATGTCGCTTTAGCAGAGTAAGTATTCTCAATCATCTTCTTTATCTCATAATGCTGAACTAGTCAACAGGATTCAGGAATACCGAATGATACCCTATCTAAAAAAAAAACTTCATGCTCCAAAGTGCCAGGGTGGATTCAACTGTGGAGCTCCTTGGCATTCCCAGTCTCCCAGAAGAAAAACACTATGTTCTTCTGTGGCTTCCTACTTCCACTGCACTGAGCAGTGTCAGATTACGAGGTGGGTTGGGGGAGGGTCTCAGAGTCAAAGAAAAACAAGCTGGTCTTGAAGCCTTGGGGTCTTTTGTACATGTGATTTCCTAGTTGTCATTGGTGTTGACCCCTGACCTCAGTGTGTGAACAGCAGGCCTCTGGGAGTTGTAGTCATCCACCAGTGATGGAAGCTTGGTTATTGATGACTATTTATGACTCCCTGATAAAATAAAGGTTAAAACATAATCATAATTGAAGTGGGGAGGGGAGTAGTGTCAAAAACAACAGAGACTAAGGGCCATGTTTTGAATCAACATTACAACACAGCTATAGGGCTCAGTGTTGTGTGCTCTTTCATTCATCTGTGGTTCCCATCACCTAATCCAGTGTTGATAACATTCATCTGTTATGTTGGAATGTAGGATATTCTTCTATTCTTTTAGATAAGAAATTAACAGGAGGATTTACACTGGGTGCTGTGAATATGGCTGTGAAAACGCGATTTGAAAGACAAAGTGTTCCAGTGAAACAGCAACAACACAAAATTGCTAGACAAACAGTTCAAGGTACCAACTGGATCTAATGTCTCTATAATCAAACCCTCCCACACATACCAGGGTTAGGTTAGGGTAGAATTCCAGCCAATAGGCTGAGAACTATTGATCCACAAGACCTTGCAGGGCCACAGCGGTAAAGCTGCGTTTACAAAGGCAGCACAATTAGGATATTTTGCCACTAATTGGTCTTTTGACCAATCAGATCAGCTCTTTGGCCAATAATTGGGCAAAGGATCAGAATTGGGCTGCCTGTGTAAACACAGCCTAATGCAGTAAATATCTGTGAGCCCCTCCCTATATCTTAACATAAATGCTACAATAAATGGCATTCAAAATATAGAAGAAAATATCAGACAAGCTTCTGCCTACACTCACATATTCAGTTGTAGGCATTTTGTTTAGTCAAGCACATGTTGGATGAGTCCCACTTCACAATAAGTGTTGCTAACCCATACAGTATGTATTTATATTGTAATTACAACTACAGGTACAGTGTAAAGTGGTGTGGTTGGTACTCATTGTTACATAGTACTTAGTATGTAGAATACACAGTTAACCATTTTGTAATTACACAACCAGCAAACAGGTACCATAATTTCAAGTAAGCTTGATATAAAAAGGAGCGCAACGTTATTCATGAGGACATGTTTTTGGGTTCAATGAGAGGATGAGAGCATGGAACATAACACAAGCACATCCGCAATGTTCTAGTGTCTGTCTGTCCCTTTTTTAACTGCACCGATGATATGTGGGTTTAGGATGGGAGACATTGTGCATTAGGCAGACATGGCTGTGTGTCTATTTATAGAAAGCTGCAGTTCTTTAGCCTGGAAGATTAGGCTAGTGTCCAGTGAAACATGACTCAGCTTATGTGGCAGGCAGGAGCAGGCTGAGTCTGCACACTCCAGGCAGCTATCACACACAGGAAGCCTTATTCACACACAAGCAAATACAAACATACTGCACTCTAATCGATCTGGTTGAGTAGTTTTTCGCAAAATACACACTTGCAGTCCAGGCAAGCATCAAAAAGATGGAAAGGTAAAGTCAATGTTGGACACATACACACACACACACACACACATACACACACAAAGAACGAGACACCAGCACTCATCTCTATGATATTCCTAAGATAAGATATTCGTTTGCCTCTTCAAAGCAGATGTGATCCTGACTTGGTGAAAGTCCAGATCTGACAATAGATGATGATTTCACATTTCAGCTTCTCCCTGAGGTACTGCTGCACCAGGTAGTTACACCTGTTGCTGATGTCAGGGAAATAGTCTCCATGCAAGGCTTCCCCTCTCAGCTCTCAACGTTTAACCATGCCAAAGTTGCTACTTCAAAGTCCTTGTTGGAAGTGTCATGACTTCTTTCAAACTTGATTGCCTGGCTTACTGTATCACTCATTAGCTCCTTCTTCCCTGATCAAGCAGAGTATTTTAACCCGTCATTCCACTTCAATAGAGGGGTGACCCCATAGAGATCCTATTAAATTACTAGAGGGGCTATGTCATAATCCCTCAAAGTTCCAGAATGGGGTGATAATGGCAGCCATCAGTCAGGGAGAAATCCAAAACCAGTCTAATTGGAATGAATGGCAGTAGAGGCATAGGTGATGCATTTCCTGCTTTTACTTATGCAGTAACATAAAAGTAAGGCATGTGATGTAACAGAAATGGTGTAATAGAAAATATTGTCACCCCCAAATATTGTTGTATAATTATAAATAAAGTTCATACGGGTTTTATACAAACTATCTGTATAAATAGCCTCTAATATATATATGCAAACAGACCATAAACGTCTACATTTTTGTTTTCTTGGAAAGCTGTGAGTGTTATCATATGATACAATGTCAGTACTTGCATTTACAAGTTGTCTAAATCCTATCATCAACCGATTTCAGACAGTGTAGGGCTGTGGATTGACTGCATTGTTTAAATGGAATGTTGGCATATTGGCAGTTAATTTGAATCATTCATCTAAAACTGTGTGGCTATAGCTACAGTGAGGGAAAAAAGTATTTAATCCCCTGCTGATTTTGTACATTTGCCCACTGACAAAGAAATTATGAGTCTATAATTTTAATGGTAGGTTTATTTGAACAGTGAGAGACAGAATAACAACAAAAAAATCCAGAAAAACGCATGTCAAAAATGATATAAATTGATTTACATTTTAATGAGGGAAATAAGTATTTGACCCCCTCTCAATCAGAAAGATTTCTGGCTCCCAGGTGTCTTTTATACAGGTAACGAGCTGAGATTAGGAGCACACTCTTAAAGGGAGTGCTCCTAATCTCAGTTTGTTACCTGTATAAAAGAGACCTGTCCACAGAAGGCTGGAATGGGCTACAAGACCATCGCCAAGCAGCTTGGTGAGAAGGTGACAACAGTTGGTGCGATTATTCGCAAATAGACGAAACACAAAATAACTGTCAATCTCCCTCGGCCTGGGGCTCCATGCAAGATCTCACCTCGTGGAGTTGCAATGATCATGAGAACGGTGAGGAATCAGCCCAGAACTACACGGGAGGATCTTGTCAATGATCTCAAGGCAGCTGGGACCATAGTCACCAAGAAAACAATTGGTAACACACTACGCCGTGAAGGACTGAAATCCTGCAGCGCCCGCAAGGTCCCCCTGCTCAAGAAAGCACATATACATGCCCGTCTGAAGTTTGCCAATGAACATCTGAATGATTCAGAGGAGAACTGGGTGAAAGTGTTGTGGTCAGATGAGACCAAAATGGAGCTCTTTGGCATCAACTCAACTCGCCGTGTTTGGAGGAGGAGGAATGCTGCCTATGACCCCAAGAACACCATCCCCACCGTCAAACATGGAGGTGGAAACATTATGCTTTGGGAGGAGCTGAAGGTTCGAGTTGCCAAACGTCAGGCTCGAAACCTTAATGACTTGGAGAAGATCTGCAAAGAGGAGTGGGACAAAATCCCTCCTGAGATGTGTGCAAACCTGGTGTCCAACTACAAGAAACGTCTGACCTCTGTGATTGCCAATAAGGGTTTTGCCACCAAGTACTAAGTCATGTTTTGCAGAGGGGTCAAATATTTATTTCCCTCATTAAAAAGCAAATCAATTTCTAACATTTTTGACATGCGTATTTCTGGATTTTGTTGTTGTTATTCTGTCTCTCACTGTTCAAATAAACCTACCATTCAAATTATAGACTGATCATGTCTTTGTCAGTGGGCAAACGTACAAAATCAGCAGGGGATCAAATACTTTTTTCCCTCACTGTAGCTAACAAACATTCAGAGCAGATAATCTTCAAATTCATTGTTTTGCACAATATCTTATCACAGCACCAGCAAACCATGGTTGTCCAACTCCCTTACCAAAATGGCTGACCTTTAAGACCATCATAAGAAGGTTAATGTCCATTCTAGTATTCTGATTCCTAATTCTATGGGTGACCCATTCCTCAAGTAAATCCCCTCAAACTCCAGGCAGTAGAGGCCCTACTGTGCACCTTAGCCTTAATCCTCTGACCCTGGCCAGGCCTATTGTCCAATCATCACATACCAAGAAATCCCCCCTTGAGACAGACAAAGAACAAGAGGGGCCTTGTTCGTTAACCTCCTGCTTGCATCTAATAGGTACACCTGGCTCTGCATGTTTCCCAAGCAAGCAAACAAAGACAAGGACCTGGGAATGTCATCCTCATCTAGGGGACCAATGGGACTGAGGGGATTAACGGTCTACTATAGTAGTGCCTCATCAAGAGGCTGATAACATTAAGCCCTCACCTGTGGGGTCAAAAGTCCACAGTGAAATGTGTGATTGGAATGGGAGCATACTACTACTGTAAGACCCTTACTTGACACGTGGAAGTCTTTCACAAATAATTAAGAAGACAGATGTATTAAAACATCCAGAGCAGCTGTCTGTTTGGAAAACATCCCTTGACGTTATTGACGCTCAGGAACGTTTCTATCATTTTGGGGGCCCTAAGCGAGATTTGGTTGGGGGGCCCCCTCACGGTCTAAACATTTTAGTCGCCCCCCTCTTGGCGGAGGAGAGAAAATGTAGCAATTTTAAAATACATTTCATGAGATTCTACTCATTTTGCCATGTGGCGGAGCAAAAACCTTGCAGTTTTAAAGCTAATTTCCTGCAGTTCTACACCTTTTGCCATGGGCTGGAGAGAACATTTAGCAGTTTTAAAGCAAATTTCCTGCAGTTCTACACCTTTTGCCATGGGCTGGAGAGAACATTTAGCAGTTTTAAAGCAAATTTCCTGCAGTTCTATGCATTTTACCATGGGATGGAGAGAACATTTTGCAGTTTTAAAATGAATTGCTTGCAATTGTACACATTTTGCCATGACTCATGCCATGTTCATGTGATATCTGCGTGAGAAAAATCAATGGGGGCCGCCTGGAGGTCAGAGCCCTTGGGCACACAAGTGCCTGGTCATTAATTTGGCCATGATTACTAAGGTTTAGATAGCTGGCTAAACTAACTTACCTAGCAATCTATAAAATGTTAGCTGACATGGGCTAATTGAGTGACTGTCAGGTGACTGATATAACAAGATGAAAACTTACACATTTGGTGCATTTCCATTGAGATTTACCCCCAGCCTAGTTGGCCGCCAGTGTTTTATGTTAATGTGTGTAAGGTCTAGTGTTGTTGTGTTTCCATCAGGAGTGTGACACTTAAAGTGGAACTGACAGCATTTTATCAACATGAAATCTTATTAAAATGTGTTCATATACACCCCCAGGAAGAATATGACACCTTTTTTTCCCATTTTCTGACAAGCGAGAACTTAAGATATGGTCATTTTCACGTTTTCATAAATTCACAGAATGTTTGGGAATGACGTATGGTAAGACATTTGTGGAAATTCTATAGCAATATAGAGTGGGAAAGCGGCCGTGCGTTTGGACAATTAATAGGCACTGCAGTAAATAAAACCTAATAGTTCAGCATAGCTAGCTAGCTAGCTAGCAAAGCGATTCACATTTCTTGCTAGCTAACCAAATGACACTTGCATCTCTAGCTGTATCCACCGAAAAACGATATAAGGGGAAAAAGTCAGTCACTCACCCACTCCTCCAATGGCATTACATCCTCCCAGCAACTAGCTAGCTAGCTAACATTAGGCTCCGTGTTTTTAGCTTGCTAAATAAATAGCTACATAAGTAGATACGCTTGCCCAGGGGTGTCAGCGCACGGGTCATACTGAAAAAAGACAACGAATTTACGGGCCAGACATAGCCTATTTGTTTTAACCAAAAAATGTGCAACTGCGACCCAAACTGGCCATTGTTTTATTAGAGAAAATATAGCCTTTCTAATGTCCACTTGTGTACATAGGATGCTGTATATAGCCTTTTAACATATTAAAACAATAGAAGTGATACATTATATTGGTCCAGCCTTTGCTGCTATGCATGCAGATGTGCATAATATGCTGCGACCCTAATCAAAAAGTATTTAATAACTCCAAATAACAAAAAACATATCTATAGGTTGTTGTAACATTTAAACTTAAAACATGTTTAACATTATTTTGCACTGCATGGATCACCGGTTTTAAAAACCGAAGCCAGACTGCACTTTCCCTCTGCTGTGCGCTGTAAACGGGACACACAAAAGCAGCGCAATTGAAGTTGAATTCACTGATGCGAGCGTATCAGGCTGTAATTTCATAAAGTAGATGACTCTGTTGACTCATTTATACTCGCTTGTGACTTGTAGTGCAGCGCATCGCGGGCGCTATGATAGCGGTCCGAAATGAATTGACAACCCAAATCATTGCGTGGGCCGGATAGAAATGTGTCACGCCTTGTGTTTGACACGTGCGCTAGCCTATTAGCCACGTTATGAGTGGCTTGTGATCATTGCCCTTGCTAGTTGGATTGTATTGACATTCCCAGCCTAAGTTACAGTAGTCCGTTTTTGTTAAAAATATTGAGTCATTGAAACTGAAACAGTGCATCCTGAATGGGTGGAGGCAGCAAACAATTTACCAGGCTAACTGTGATTTACAACCTGCTAGCAATATTTTTTGGACTACCAAGAAATGTATTGGTGAATTATATTAATCATGCATTGAAGTGCATCCATCTATTCTGCCAACAATGCCTTACTGTCTGTCATGGAATTTTGAGTCAAATAGAACCTATTTTTAAAACCTCTTATAAAGTTGGTTTTGTAGCATAAACTAGGAATTTGATATTTTTTACTGATATTATGATTGTCTGTTTGTTTCATATTTGAAAAGTAGTTAAAATGTTGTCAGTTCCACTTTAAGGCCTATGGCGAGCAGAATCAACAACCTCTGCATCTTTCAAGACTGTTGCTTTGTGAAAAGGTGTTACAGTAACTGTTCAGTGAAAATCTCACTTTTAAATGTTCATATTCTGTTAACTCATACCCAATAAATTGGAGAAAAAAAACACTTAAAAACCCCCACCTCAAACTTGTATCTCAAATAGACATTTAAAAATACTTGCTATTTCCTCATAGAGGATGATGTCATCTTTCTGAGGAAGATGAGCTGGCCAATCAAATCAAATCAAATCAAATCAAATGTTATTGGTCACATGCGCCGAATACAACAGGTGCAGACATTACAGTGAAATGCTTACATACAGCCCTTAACCAACAGTGCATTTATTTTTAACAAAAAAAGTAAAAATAAAACAACAACAAAAAAAGTGTTGAGAAAAAAAAGAGCAGAAGTAAAATAAAATAACAGTAGGGAGGCTATATATACAGGGGGGTACCGGTGCAGAGTCAATGTGCGGGGGCACCGGCTAGTTGAGGTAGTTTAAGTAATATGTACATGTGGGTAGAGTTAAAGTGACTATGCATAAATAGTTAACAGAGTAGCAGCAGCGTAAAAAGGATGGGGTGGGGGGCAGTGCAAATAGTCCGGGTAGCCATGATTAGCTGTTCAGGAGTCTTATGGCTTGGGGGTAGAAGCTGTTGAGAAGTATTTTGGACCTAGACTTGGCACTCCGGTACCGCTTGCCGTGCGGTAGCAGAGAGAACAGTCTATGACTAGGGTGGCTGGAGTCTTTGACAATTTTGAGGGCCTTCCTCTGACACCGCCTGGTATAGAGGTCCTGGATGGCAGCGGTCTACTCGCGTTAATATTTTTCATGACCGGTATACGCCCACACCATTCTGTTGTTGGGGTACGCCCACACCATTCCAACACAGAAAAGCAGCTTTTTAACATACTTAATTACCATTTTTTGGAAGGAAAACGATTTCACTCATATTGTAATGAATTATAGGTCATATTTCATAGAAATCTGGAAATACTGGACTTTTACTTTAAAGTTCACAGTTATCCATTGTTATGTAAATGAAAGCTGAAAAGTACCCAGGGCCTTGCCTTGGTTCCAAGTTAAGGCAGGTCCGCCGGAGCCATGGCCCAGTGAGACACGGGTGCCGGCCCGCGTAAATGGAAACAGAAAAGTATTTTGGGTAAAACACTGGGGTAAATCCTCAATGGAAATGCGCCAGTTGTGTATTCTACTATCCTAACTAACAGTAAGTTGAGACCCCGACTGACTTCCTGGCGGCCCCCTAGCGGCTGTGGGGCCCTAAGCAGCCACTTATATTGCTTATGCCTAGAAACGGCACTGTTGAATCTTATAACTGGAGCATAACACATTGTAGAATTCAGATGCTGTACATGGTCACCACATGTCTAAACAAAAGTCACGAGTTAAAAGTAGTGTTAAAAACTACAGTATCCTAGTAGGCCTATGCTGGCTATTAGTCCCAATGTCAGTCACCTCTTCTGAAAAAGACAACTATCCATTATGTAGACATCACATGTAGGCCTATTTCCCGCTATTGCCGTGAAACAGTTAACCTGATTCAGCTATGGCTGTGTTTAGACAAATCAAATCAAATCACATTTTATTGGTCTCATACACATATTTAGCAGGTATCCCAATTCTGATCTTCTTTCCACTAATTGGTATTTTGACCATTCACAGCACATCTTTTCGCATCAGGTCTTTTTCAGAGCTGATCTGATTGGTCAAAAGTATCAGAATTGGGCTGCCTGTCTAAACGCACCCCTTCTGCCTGGTATGTGGTTTACATTTACATTTACATTTACCTCATGTTTCTGTTCCTTGTGAGATAAATAGCAGAACTGAATCTTGCTTATTACTTGTCTGGAACAAACTAAGACAGGATTTGACAAGCACTGAACTTTCATGACGCAGTAATGTCTTGGAGTGACGTAGACTGAAGCTCTGATCATGATAGCCTATATGACATAAAAGGACTGTGTGGTCATCATGTTAAACTATTTACAAATAAGAAAAACCTATATTTAATCATGTATATATTAATAATATATAAATATAATATAAAATAATATGTATAATAATGTATGAAAAACACAAAAAGCACATGAACACCAAGATGATCGTCTTAAACCGGATTGTACCAGCGCTGACCAGCGCATTAATACCCCTGCTTCTTGGACTCCTGCAATGAAGTTGACAGACACATCTGCATAGCTTTTACAACATCACCAAGGAATGTATGTAGGCTATAGCCTACCAGACAGACGTATAGGCCTCCTGCTTATCTGATTAAGACATATTTTCTATCATTATAATGTTATGGCAATCGTATGAATGTATTGTAAACCGCTTACCTTTTCAGGCTTTGGTTTGTTTTGAAGCAGCTGCTCCAGGTACAGGTCGGAGAGGGCTGTTCGAGAACTGTTGACCCGCTCAAGTATAACAGCGGGTTCGTTTTTATTGGATTTTAATGTCATCTTTACTGGTTAGCAAAAAAAGAAAAGTGAACGTAATGCGCCCTTGTTCAAGGTCCGCAATAGGCTGGCCCTATTGTAGCAGAGAAGGGAAAATGAGTGATAAGGAACCCTGGCGGTCTGATAAATTGCTGTTCTGGGTTCAAGTCCGAGGTTCTGATCAATTCGGAGGTATTGCAGGCTAGGCTGCGAGGACACAGCTGACAAAGCAAGTAAACATTCGATTGCTAAAGGGGGCAGGCCCACTGCAGCTTCCTCAGCGGTAGAGCTGTTACGTGTTGCTGGCACAGTCGGGGTCATACCAAAAGTAGGGACCGCGCTCCGAAGAACTACGCTACGCGAGGCTTGAATAAGGGCGGTATTGCACCACCAATGGTTTTCAGCTGACCGCTATATGAAAAACATGGGAAATGCCACACACCACTACAGCCTAGAAGATACTCCTCAGAAATTGTGTTTTCCTCTCATCTCTATGCACTGCAATATAGCTGTCATATAGGCTATCCATATAATAAATAGCTCTACAATACGAAAAAGAGTAGCCTAAACCAACCTGGACTCAGGGGTAGACTTAACATAGTAAACGTAAATCCAGGGATACTGCTTTGGTATGATATGTTACATTTGTATGGTATGTATTAATTTGTGGATGTCCGTCATCCATTTCAGATGATATGTTACGAATTACAATTCGTATGATATGTTAAGAATTGCAATTTGTACAATATGTTATGATTATGCAAAACATATGATATGTTATGAATTCCAATTTGTTATGGCTAATGTTAGCTAGGTGGCTAAGTGGCTAACGTTATCTAGGTTAGGGGTTAAGGTTAGGGGTTAAGGTTAGTGTTAGGAGTTAGGTTAAAGGGTTAAGGTAAGATTTAGGGGAAGGATTAGCTAACATGCTAAGTAGTTGCAAAGTAGCTAAAAAGTAGTAAGTAGTTGGAAAGTTGCAAATGAGCGAAAATGCTAAAGTTGTCCATGATGAGATTCGTTTTTTTGCCTTAAGTAATCTTCTGTCTTATATAACCATACAAAATGTAACATATCATACTACTTTGAGTGTCCTGGATTTACATTTACTATGTTATGTGTCATCTATGAGAACAGGCTGCCTAAACATGTGTGCCCCACACTAATAAATAGTGTGATAAATAGATACATAGACCCTATGATAAATAACTAAAGTGCCTTATGAAACCAAGACGCAGAATTTAATGTATACCAAAATAAGCCTAGAGAAAAGCCCTATCAAACACATTATTTCATATCTGAGTGTTCTTGATAAATAACGCTTGTCTGCCATCCTGTGGTTTAATTATGTTACTGCACCCACGGCCAGAGCCACAGTCACCGCCACATAAAAGGCCATTTTTGTTTGGACAAAATCCAATATCAAAGAAATGTCTTCTGTCTTATCAAAATATAATTGAATGTCCAACTGTAAAATTTTTATTGGTTTGTTTTGTGTGTATTTGTTGAAATAAAATAACTAAATAAAAGTTCACATATAGGCTACTCCAAAATCCAAACTCTTATAAGCCATTTCGCACTGGCAACAAACGTCAATTCAACATCTATTCCAAATCAATCAAATCAAATATTATTTGCCACATGCGCCGAATACAACAGGTGTAGACATTACAGTGAAATGCTTACTTACAAGCCCTTAACCAACAATGCAGTTTTTTAAAGAAAAAGTAAAATTAAAAAAGTGTTAAGTAAAAAAATAAAAGCATATAACTAAAGAGCAGCAGTAAAATAAAAGAACAGTAGGGAGGCTATATACAGGGGGGTACTGGTACAGAGTCAATGTGCGGGGGGCACCGGCTGGTCGAGGTAATTGAGGTAATATGTACATGTGGGTAGAGTTAAAGTGACTATGCATAAATAATAAACAGAGTAGCAGCATGTTGGTTCAACGTAGTTTTATTGAAATGACGTGGAAACAACGTTGATTCAACCAGTGTGTCGCCAGTGGGTTTCATCCCTCATCCTACCAACTGAGGAGGCATATCTTTTTAAATCATAGCACAAATGTGTTTTATTAAATTCTTCCAATTGACTTTGTCAATCCAGTTGTTCATAACAAATCTAAATAAGTATTTAGTGTCTCTGTTTCATTATGGACTTTAAAGAACACCCAGCCGAAAACACCTAATTCCAGCCTATAGTAATTTGATAGGTAGGACCTTTATTTGAATCTAAGATTCTCTGGAGACATAATAACAAGTTGTCCATACCACAAGAGGGTAGACGGGGACCTGTATCAGGGATTTTGACCAGATAGACAGATCATCTGCAGAGATATAGCTTCCCATGTACTCGTCTAAGATTGTAGTTTTCTATACCATATATCTTATGATGTACAAAACCAAAATTACCTTATCTTTGTGCATATAACAATCTGCCAATGGTATACAATATCTGCCAATAGTATACATTCTTATAACTGCAAAACAGACATTAGATTCACTCTGAATCTACACAGAGAGCTGTATTGGTGTGTACTTCCAAAGAGTAGTTATTCTAGGGAAAATATAAAAAAGTATTTATTTGAATCCAGGTTTCTCTGGAGACATAATATTAAGTTATACATATCCTCAGAGGGTGGAGGGGGCCTGTTGGATAGACAGATATCCTGCATAAATGGAGCACCTGTACTCGCCTATGGTTATAACTTGTTATAACTAGGTATGGCCGTGTACAAAATCAAAATTACCTTAGACATATGCTTAGTTGAGGTCAAAAAAGCTAATGAAAGTATGTCAGTTGTATACATACTTGGTACAAATGTGATACATAAACCAGCAGCTACCCTCTGAATGTACACATGGTGCCAAATAGTTATTCTACGGAAAATGTTATATGAATACCAGCATTCCTAAAATATCTTCCAATATTCTATATGTGCAACTTGTTATGGTATTTGGGTTGCTATAACATTTGGTTTGAAGTGACTGAGGATTTGGGCATGCATTTTGAAGCATCCTGCCATAGGCCCTACCACTCCCATTGCTTCACTAGCAGAAATGCTAATGATGGTGTACCGGCCCTTTAAATGGCATTCATTTTTACCACATAAATAATGCAACATTTATATTTACTTCAAAATTCTAAAAACGAAATTATACTACAATCAAATGATTGTAAATCAGCTATTTAGTACTAGTGTGCATTGTACTTTGGAAAAAAGCTGCACATTATTTAAGGCAAAAATGTACATTTTAGTTTGACAGCATATGCAAATGAACTGTACATTTGTGATAACATTATTTACATGTCTAATGATGTTTTGATAAGAATTTAGTAAATATTTTGCTATATTGTTGCTTTTTACAATAGTTTCTTCTTGGGGTCAAAATGTACATTTTACATTTTAGTCATTTAGCAGACGCTCTTATCCAGAGCGACTTACAGTTAGTGAGTGCATACATTTTTCATACTTTTTTCATACTGGCCCCCCGTGGGAATCAAACCCACAACCCTGGCGTTGCAAGCGCCATGCTCTACCAACTGAGCTACAGGAGGCCCCAGTTTGTAATCCATGTACAGTGAGGGAAAAAAGTATTTGATCCCCTGCTGATTTTGTATGTTTGCCCACTGACAAAGAAATGATCAGTCTATAATTTTAATGGTAGGTTTATTTGAACAGTGAGAGACAGAATAACAACAAAAAAATCCAGGAAAACGCATGTCAAAAATGTTATAAATTGATTTGCATTTTGATGAGGGAAATAAGTATTTGACCCCCTCTCAATCAGAAAGATTTCTGGCTCCCAGGTGTCTTTTATACAGGTAACGAGCTGAGATTAGGAGCACACTCTTAAAGGGAGTGCTCCTAATCTCAGCTTGTTACCTGTATAAAAGACACCTGTCCACAGAAGCAATCAATCAATCAGATTCCAAACTCTCCACCATGGCCAAGACCATAGAGCTCTCCAAGGATGTCAGGGACAAGATTGTAGACCTACACAAGGCTGGAATGGGCTACAAGACCATCGCCAAGCAGCTTGGTGAGAAGGTGACAACAGTTGTTGCGATTATTCGCAAATGGAAGAAACACAAAATAACTGTCAATCTCCCTCGGCCTGGGGCTCCATGCAAGATCTCACCTCGTGGAGTTGCAATGATCATGAGAACGGTGAGGAATCAGCCCAGAACTACACGGGAGGAACTTGTCAATGATCTCAAGGCAGCTGGGACAATAGTCACCAAGAAAACAATTGGTAACACACTATGCCGTGAAGGACTGAAATCCTGCAGTGCCCGCAAGGTCCCCCTGCTCAAGAAAGCACATATACAGGCCCGTCTGAAGTTTGCCAATGAACATCTGAATGATTCAGAGGAGAACTGGGTGAAAGTGTTGTGGTCAGATGAGACCAAAATGGAGCTCTTTGGCATCAACTCAACTCGCCGTGTTTGGAGGAGGAGGAATGCTGCCTATGACCCCAAGAACACCATCCCCACCGTCAAACATGGAGGTGGAAACATTATGCTTTGGGGGTGTTTTTCTGCTAAGGGGACAGGACAACTTCACCACATCAAAGGGACGATGGACGGGGCCATGTACCGTCAAATCTTGGGTGAGAACCTCCTTCCCTCAGCCAGGGCATTGAAAATGGGTCGTGGATGGGTATTCAGGCATGTGTGGTCCTCTGTAGCTCAGCTGGTAGAGCACGGCGCTTGTAACGCCAGGGTAGTGGGTTCGATCCCCGGGACCACCCATACACAAAAATGTATGCACACATGACTGTAAGTCGCTTTGGATAAAAGCGTCTGCTAAATGGCATATTATATTATATTATATGACAATTACCCAAAACACACGGCCAAGGCAACAAAGGAGTGGCTCAAGAAGAAGCACATTAAGGTCCTGGAGTGGCCTAGCCAGTCTCCAGACCTTAATCCCATAGAACATCTGTGGAGGGAGCTGAAGGTTCGAGTTGCCAAACGTCAGGCTCGAAACCTTAATGACTTGGAGAAGATCTGCAAAGAGGAGTGG